AAAAAAAATCAAGATATTTTAAAATTCTAAAAGAAATACTTCGACTTAATGGAATTTTTTTATAATATTGGGAAGCAATTGCCTTTGTTACAGATTAATAAACACAATTTTCAACTAAAATTTTGGATGGCATTATTTTTCTCAGAAACAACTGCAAATTATAATTAATAATAATAAGTCAATCTATTCTTTGACATCGGTAATATCTAACAAAATTTTACAATGCAGTATCAATATAATTTAATTTAAAATTCCAATCGAAAAAAAATTGTAAAAAAAAATCGCGACTCGTTCGCCAGAGGTGCTGCTTTTACTTCATAATATTTTTTTTTAAATTCATATTTGACTCATTAATTTGTGAAGATAAACAACAATATCAAAATAAATGTTTCAAGATGGTTTTTTTTCGTTTGAAATGTCATTTAAGTAATTTTTAGAGTAAATTTTAGTACCAGAATGAACAATTTACAAAGCTCCATTTCCCGAATAAATTTTGAAGTGAACAAAACAAAATGAAAAAGACTTTCCACCACTCTAGGGATTATCATTACTGGTGTTCCAACTGGTGTCTGGATGCATACGTGGTCGGGGAGCAAATTAGCCGCTCGGGACTGGTGGAAGGACGCCTCTGCGCTTATTCTGCATCTTTTATCGTGTTTTCTATTTTTAAAACAAAAGCTATCACACTCTCGCCTCGGCAGCGGCGGCAAAACAACACAGAGCGACTGCTGCTCTTGATGTTCTTGCGGAGTGACTTTGAGTTGAAAAGACTGTTGTGTGTGCTCATGTTTTATATTTGGTTTACACGATGGCAGAAATAAATATAGTAGAGCCTTTTGATTTTTTCTAGCGAAATCCACGATCTGATTTGGGAGAATAAACAAAGAGAGCTTATAAAATTCAAATAAATTACCACAAATTGTTTACAAAGAGACAAAGTCTTGTAGTTCAATGCAGATTTTATAAGTATTTAAATTTTGTAAATTTTTAGTTAGCTGTATAAAAAATTTTGAACTTATAGTAATAACAAAATAATAGTTAATTCTTAATTTAATTTAAAAAATTTCAAATACCGGAAATATAACTGTTATCATTTTTCAGTATCAAAGATATTTTATTTTTCTGTGTAAATTTATGTAAATCATTGACTTAACTTTTAATTCCAAGCTCTAGATTTTCTAAATTTACACCTCAGTTTGCTTTCTATTTTTATCAAAATAATTATAATTATTATTATTTGCTGAACTACATTTTTTGTGTTTCCCCTCTGTTTAGACGTTAACCACTAAATAAATGGGATTTTTAAAATTGATGATAATCTTGTCAGAAAAGCCTAGAAGCAAATTGCCATAATTTACGCGTAATTGGCTCAGAAACAGGAGGCGAAATGCAAAATGATCATATAAGTTGTAGCCACAGCGGCACGCAGCCTTTAGCGGGCGTCACGCAGGTTGCATACCTAAAAGGCGTTTCATTACTAAATTTCGCTGGCTCTTTTAATTTTGCGAAAGAGCTTTTAGTCAATATATCTTTAAAAATTACGCGAATGCACAACAGTAATAGATAAAAATTCACAAACTTTTTTTGTATTAAATTCGCTTAGAGTAAGATTTATTTTACTTTTTAGCAAATGCACGCTTTAAAAACGTTATTTCTGCTCTCATTACTTTTTTTATCATTTACAATTACTTTTTTATTTTTTCGCAGTTAACAGCAATTTTTATTTTCCTTTTCAATGTCTCGTCAGACAGAAACAAGGACGAGAATAAAACAAAGGCCGTGTTGAGTAGAAATTAATTAGATTTTTATTTTGCATTGCTCTTTCTCATTCGGTTTTTTTTATTACGACCATAAACCCTGGTTATTGGGGGTTGCACACACAGTACCATCGCGGCACCTCGTAAAATTTACACTTTTATTATTATGAGGTCGTTAAAAATGACTCTGGTCTTGCTATTGAAATGCAAAATTGATTTTAAATCTAAAGGCCAAATTCATGACAGCGTGTGCGATAATTTGAGTGGAAAAAGAAGCCCCGACTGGTTCTGACGTGCACATTATTCATGCGGGAGCCTTAACAAGGGTGAAAAACATGAAAGCAGGCTTTTATTTGCAAATTCTCTAGGGCGATAATTTTTGCTCGGCCTTTGTTCTTGCGCTATTTGTGACGTTGGTTGCATAACGCGCGGGCTAATTTGCTCTCTTTCGCAGGGCCCGAAACCCACATAAGTGCCGCTGCTTGGACAAACAATCCGACGTCTGGAAAGTCAAACGAGCGGCGGAAGAATGGATTTGGTGGAGGGGAAAATTGAATTTGATAACGATGAAATTCGCGTATATGCGGGAAAGAGTTTGATAAAGAAAGGAGACGACCCACATGGAGATGTCTCTGACCGTTGACCAAAAATTGTTATTTATATTTATAAACGCGTGCGATTCATATATCATCCTCGTCTTATCTGCAAAGGTCAAAACCGGGTTGCTTCCTGATTGGCCAATTTATTATGTAAGGCTTGATATCTCAACATCACACCACCACCCATTGCGAAATCATATTTCACTCGCATATTTGTTTTGAAATAATGTTTTATGCCAACTCGTCGTCAAATTATATATATATGATATATATGCAAAAAAGTCAAATAATTTGTTGTGGTTTAGAAGGGTTGTTATTTAAATTGCATTCATTGTTTATCATTTACGTGTCTATTTAAATCATTATGCTTCAATAACTAATTTGAAATTAAACTGTCACATAAAGCGGGTTTATCCAATGTTTCTACCCTAAAAGATTCAATTATTGAAAAATTGTGGTACTACAGCTATCAAGTCTAATAAATAAAACAATGAACCCAGAATTTAAAACAATTGTAGACAGGATCTTAAAAACTTAAGAAAATGCAGAATATTCACAAATTTATATTATTTGGCTTTTAAATGACTAATCAAGCAATGATTGAATTTTTCCTATCAGAAAAATTAAAAATTTTAATTAAAAACAGAGACTCTATCTTTGTTCAAAGAAAAATAATTTTTTTACTCAAACTGATGGAAATTTCAATAAATTTCTTGCTAATATTCTATTTTTAAGTGAGAAAAATGCATAAAATTTTTTTCCGAACTTTCAAAATTTAAATTTTATTTAAATTAGATGATCTTTTAATTCATTCTCATACAATAGGGTTGCAGACCATGACCTGTTTTGTTTTTCAACGAGGACAAAAAGTCAGATTTTACTCCATGCAGATCTCCTTGAGTGCCCAGCTCACTTCTCTGAAATGAGCTTGTCAATCATTAATTAGCAAACAACACTGTGACTATTTACTCTATTTAATTAATTTTTTATTTAAAGGATTTATAAATTTTGGAAAAAAAATTATCTATAAAAAAGTCCAATTTTAAATTATTCATTTTGTATTGCCTGCATTTGCTTTTTGAATGAATCCATTATATAAATTTTTTTCAATTTTATTTTCAGAAAATTCGACAATATCAGAAAGTTATTAGAATTATATTTAATTTCAGATTATATTGAGTAGCCTATAGCAATCTAAAATTTTTGGCGTTTTGCATTATTTATTTGGTCTTCATCTAGTCACATAAAAAATTAAATTATTCATGAAATTCAAATGAAACTCATAATCAGTGCCATTTATGGAAATGAAAATTGCACTGCCGGGAGAGCCGCCGCTGCGCAGAGCAAACTTTATGAATAAAGTATCTTCTCCCCATTGCCCAAAGTGTGCTGTGTCTGGCCATGGCGCTTTAGACGCAATTTGAGTTTCGAGTTGCGGAGAGACTCGGATTGAACTTTGCACATATTCACGTAGCTCTGGTGGTTTGTTCTCGGTTTCTCTGCAGCAAATTTAACTGCATGCAATCAATAACGCGAGCAAGCAAGGGCAGGTTTTCGAGCAGTTGCGTGCTTTATTATTTTATTTCGTTTTGGCACGTGCTTTTAGTTAGCGCGAGACCATTGTGTGTGGTGCGCGGTCGTGGGAAGAAAATTCATAAATGAAAGACGATTGCTAGTTGGATTAAAACCGTACAATGTTTTTTATTATACTCCATTGTGATTTGTGATCGAATGACACGGTATATATATTTATAATTAATAAATACACAGCTATTCGATAAATATTATCATTTAAATAAAACTCTCGACTATTTCTCACAAAATCGCCCTGGAGATTAACAGTTAAAGGGTTGCCTCCAGAAGCGATCAATGAAATCACTTGTTTCCTTCAGCTTTTTCGTTGGCTATTTCTCGAAACAAAATCCTTATTCGTAAGGAAATTTTCAAGTCCAAGCACATCAAAATCGTAGTTGATTGATATGATTATTTGGATACATCCAGATTTAAAATAAGAAAAGCTGCCATTTAATTTAATTCGCTTGTGACTGAGGGAAATAATAATTACGCACAATCCAACGTCGTTTTGATGAGAACTCATCTGAGAATGACTAAAAGTTTAAGTTTATAAAAAATAAAAACTTAATCGCTTCGTACAAAATAAAAAAGTAGCCATTCGCTGCGTTTTGGAGGAGAGAGCTATTGGCAAAGAGACAATTGCGTAAGAATTAAGAAAAACATGAAATTTTTATGTAAAAAGGCAACCAACAAGGCAGCCATATTTATCAATTCTATCGGCGATTTATCTAATTGTAATTGACACAGTAACAGCATTATTGCAGATTCAACAACATTGAAAAATTACCTAGCTGCTGATACTCAAGTAAGGATTGTGCACTTCGTTTTAGAATTTCACTAAATTTAAATTCTATTAATCTGCTTTCTGGATATTATAATATATTTAAACACAAATTAAATAATCAATAAAAAGCAGTAATCAAACTAATATTATCCTCAAAAATATTTTTTAATTCAGTAAATTTGATTGATAAACAACCTCATCTTCAGTCATTTGTTAATTTTATTAAAAAAAAATCATTTTCAAATGGCCCAGTGGTTTCAAAAACAAAAAATAAATAAACGAAGGTTTAATAAAAAACAATCTTTAATGTATCAGTTCAATGTTCAATTCACTTGAGGAATAACGTGTTATGAAATAGGACCGTCAGGTCCATCTGGCGTTTCGAAGCGACTCTCTGCCAAAAGCCCTCTCCGAACGGAACGTCCGTCGTGCAGCCGGTCAGACGCCCGACAGTGGCGCTGACACGCGACTGGTGTTTCAAGAGGGAGAGGTCGTGTGGTTGTTTAATCGGACTACGCAATCTAAGTCGGGGGCAGGAACGGATCTGGTGTTGTGCTCTCAGTCAGTTTTGGGGCCATCGGGGGTGACCTTTGCCGCGTCCGGGTCACACAGACTCATCGGTTGGCCGACGAGGATGCGCTCGCCGATGCCCGGCCGCAGGTGGAAATCTTCGGGCGCCTCGAACAGCAACACCACCGTCGAGCCGAGTTTGAACTCGCCAAAGAGCTGCCCCTTGGCCATGGGCACGCCTTCCTGTGTCGGCCCCAAGTACGTGTCCTTGTGACGCTGCTGGTGACGCGGCCAGCGAGGCTGGTTCGTCCGCAGTTCCTCGTCGCAGTACACGCGAATTGAGCCCACGTTGGTCGCGCCCACTGCGGTGAGCGAGAAAAAGCCGTGCTTCCACGAACCGACGTACACCGCTCGCTCGTTCAGACTAAACAGGTCCGGAATGAGACGAGCCACCATAGGATTCACGCTCAGTAATTCACCCTGGAGATAAAACAACAAAATTCAATTTAACACACAGTTATTTTAAATTCAAAAAATAATAGTAATATCAATTGTAAATTCGAGTCTAGAAATTTTTTGCATGCAAACAGTGGAATCTGCAATTAAATATTTAAGCCCATGAAATTGTATTGTCAACACTGTCATATTATTCTCTTTGGCCAACTATATTAAGGTGAAATTTATGGAATTTATTTAAACTTCCTATAATTTTATTATGGCAAAGTTTGTGCAAAAAAATTATTTCAGGATTCATTTTCACAACAAATATTGTTAGTATTCAAAATTCAGTTTTTTTCTTTTCGATCGAGTCTCAATTTAAATTTATCAACTCTTGCCATATAAATCAATTTTTATTAAAATTACTTCAATGTCTGATAAAATATTGAAAAAACTTATATGACAACCAACAGTTTTTGTTACAAAATCGATGGAGAATTTCATTAACACCAGCATTTCAATTCAATCATATGACCATCTTGTAAGGTTAAATATCACTTGAGCATAAGCGGATGTCACAAAAAATTTACTCGGTTTATGCAATTTGCCACATAGGCAAACCTTATAAGTGGTTAGTGCAACACATTTCACCGAATCGCGTGATACTGCAGTAATTTATCACAAATGCTCTAGATAGATTCTCAAACATAATAGCTCCGGTTTACAACTTTTTTTTTGTTTCTTGATCTTTGTTTGAACAGTTTTAACGTACCTGAAAGTGTCTACGGAAATTGACGCGCCACTCGGCCGGCGAGTGGAAGCGGTGGTAGTCGCCTGGCGCGAGATAAATGACGCACTGGTAAAGTCGAGTGCCTCTTTCGTTGTGCAAAAGTCTGCGTGCCAGTGTCGGTCGACCCCACTGCGTCTCGCTCATCCAGTTCGGCTCGCCTGAGTGACACACAAATTGATGAGAGCAATTCAAAGTTTGCAATTTGAGAGTTACCGAGAAAAGCTTCGAGGGAATAAGTGACTCCTTTGACTTGCTCCACCCTGGAGCCTGTAACTGGTCCCACTTGCAACACTCGACCGTCAGCTGGCGAAACCTGAGAACAAGAAGGATAAAATTATTGTGGTTTTAAAATATGGAGAAAGGTGAAAAATTAAAAATGGTTGTTTAAATAGAAACAAGAGTTTAACAGAAAAGAGGGATTATCTCAGAGTAAATTATTAATATTGAAATAATAATTAAAAAAATTATATTTTTTTAAATTAATTTAATGAATTAAAATTTTGTACAAGAAAAGTTTCTATTTAATCATTATTGAACAATTTTCTAATTATTTTAATTAATTTGATTGAAATTTTGTGGTAGAATTTAGAAAGGGTTGATTGTTGGTTGATAGTGATTTGAATTTCAAGTCAGCTTTTCCTTGATGGGTTTTGTGAGTTGTTTATTGCTTTTTCTTAAAAAATAAACAACTCACAAAACCCATCAAGGAAAAGCCGACTTTAAATTCAAATCACAAAAATTTAATTGACAATATTATACAAAATTCAGAGCCTTAACAATCTTACTAAAAGATGCTAAATTGCAAGTTTTTAAGCTTATTTTAAATTTCTACTAGTTAAATTGTTCTATTTTCCTGATTACTGAGAGCTCAACATTATAAAAATTAAATATTAAAAATTTAAAATAAAATTAAGAAATTACAAATAAAAAAATAATAAATTTATTGAGAATGAGGCATAAATAAAGAAGTTCTCAATCAATAGAGACCGACAAGTAAAATTTTGATTGAAAAAGACTTAATGCACAACCGATCACATAATGATGAGATAACATGAACAATCTGGTAATTTTTGATAGTGGACTATCGTCAAAATATCTATCTTTGGCTAGAGGTCACACGGAAATTCGCGATCCTTTTTGTTATATAAGATTAACAACATCAAAAGTTTGAGATACGCGGTGCCAAAACGGTCAACGTGTCATTTGCGGTGACAAGTGCGAGGTCGAGTGACCTCTGGCCGTTGACCCCGGCTTGATTTTCTCACGACCGCTGCTGATTTAGAGACTCACCAGCAAATCGTTGCAATTGATGGGCCTGGCGCCGTGTTTGAGGCTGCGGCCGAAAAACTGGCCCAGACTCGAGTAGGCCGCCAGGTTGGGTTCTTCGGCTTCGTTCAGGTCGCACCCGAAGGCGGTCGCGTACCAGGAGAAAAGGTGCGGCCGCGCGAACTTGGGCACCTCCTTTTCCATGGCCCAGCCCCAGACCCGCGAAAGGGCCCGCAGGGGCATCAGCCGGTAGCACGTGATCTCCCAGTCCTTGGCGTGCTCTTCCTCCTTCTCGAGGCGCTGACGAATGTGGCGCCACTGCAGCACGGCCAAAAGCACAAAACCTACCCCAAGGGGCAGCCGCAGGTAGCGCAAGTTCTGCGTCGATCGCCATCCCTGCTCGCCTTTCGACGCTACAAACAGAAAAATCGGAAATTTATGCATAAATATAAAAGATAATTTCTTGAATTTTTTCAATATAATATAATTATTGAATCTAAACTGTTTTTTTTTTAGATTAATATTTTGTCAGTTTCATTAAAATTGGACACTGAAACCAGGTTTACAGGTTTTATATACATGTATGATTATTATTATGATTGTTTATGTTTCCAAATTATCATCAAAATTTACATTCAAAGAAACATGTTTGCTGGACTTGAATTATTATTAAAAAGATCACAGATTTTACTGAAACTTCAGAGACTAAAGCAACTCCATTTGAAAATTAAATATTTATGAAGAGTTATTAGGAAAAAGATGCAGTTTATAGTTCAATGTGTAGATCTTTCTTTAATATTTTAAAATAAATTAATTTAAAAATTGCTGCTTTTTCATAAGTAAAATCTTAATTTTGAAACATCCTGATTGAAATTCAGCCCAGAATTTAAAGGAGTTTTATAAAAATATTTCAGTTTAAAACAATTATTACTTTAAAATTAATTTGGAGATGAAAAAAATTCCCTCCCATTCTAGTTTTAATATTTTTATAACGAATTAATTAAACTGATTAGCCTTCACGAAAAACGTAAGACGCGTTGACCGATAATAACGCGAGACACAATGGTCGCTTGGTCGGCAATTTTCAACGGTCTCCACCCGGATTTAATCGGCGCAGACACACATTCGTTAATCAGGACCGTCTACGAGCATATTTAAAAAGAGTTTGGCGAATTCAATGAGGAGAGCAGCTCCAGATTGAATTTGCCACTTATCACTGACAATGCACGCGTGTATTGGACGGAACACGCAGCTGAAGGGTCGATAATCTACATCAGGCGACTATAGCTCACTTTGTTTCACTTGGAGTTTAGACTCTTGTCGCGTCAAATCGCGCGAGAAATAGCCTTCCTTGAATATTAAATGCGAACTGCAAAGTTAGCTACGATTAAAAGTGTTGGAAGAATAAATAAAATCCGAAAATTTACGGTGGTTAAATAAACTAAATATTTCATTATTTGTATGCTGCATATTTTTCTATAGCTAAAAATTTTTAAAAATAACTTTAATAAGAAAATGAGTTTAAATTTATGGAATTAAAAAATTAATATAATCAATTTTCTGGGCCACAATTGTTGCAATATTTTGTCTAGTCCCTTTAAATGATGTCCATAATTTTTTTAATTGACAATTATTTCACTTATAACTCTTTTCAAGAGCATTTTTAGCATAAGAAATCCCGAAATTTTCTTTCACTACCAATAAGTCTTCTTTCTGGAAACATTGCTAGTCATGCGTCGTCTGCGAGCAGCCTTAAAACTTTTCGCAACAAAAGCCCTGTTATCGACAACTCGACACTCTAAGCTTCCTCTCTCCTCGCAGCAAAAATAAGCGATTTGCCGTCATTCATCCTTAAAGTTATGCAACGCACGCGACTTCCGAGACGAGATTTTGCCTAACTCGGTATTTCCCCGCCAAGAGCAGAGATTTGGTTCTGAGCGAAAAGTGAAAAATTACAATTTTTATTTTCCGATGCTTTTCCCATTATCTTCACAATTTTTCCTCACATACTGTCAATAACAAAAGCTGAATTTTTTACTCACTTTTGAGCAGGACAAAATAAAGGTTGCCTGATGAGATATTAAAAATTAAACTGACTGCGGAGTTGATTATTCAAATGAGTGGCGGCTGAATAAATTTCAATTAGAAAAATGTGTCCGTCCGACAACAATGGTTGCTTAACAAATTTATACATCGCGTGATTACGAGGCACACTTTGCAAATGCACTCGTGTAATGTAATAGAAAAAAAATACATACACACGCGAAAAGCTTTTAGCTGCATAAAGGACGAGCAAGGTAAAAACTGCGATAATGTACGCGTGTTTTTATTTACTTTATTAATATTTTCTGAGTGAATATTACGTGAACACGTGGCACGACGCGCTCTTCGCTATTATTATTTGCGGGACCAGAAGCTAATAGGATCAAAAACTAACAATCACGCCACGGGGACAACGCATGCGAATCGCATTTGCTGCGGCCGCCTTATTAGATAAAACGAGCGAGCAGTGAGGCCCGACAGTATTTTCTATCAGCCAACCAACCACTGCGACCAACATGAGCGTTAAGTTTTCGCAAAACTGAAGTAAATATCCCAAGCGTGGTCAGTGCAGCGATAAGAAGAAATTAAAATATTGATGAGTGTTGAGGAAAATTGTAATTAAGCCAAGGTTTCTCACAATCATACATTATTTTTTTTTTTTTCAAAATTAAAGAAAGAATAAAAAAAAAACAGAATAAATGTTTTAAACTATTTTTTCAAATTTGTTTATTTTATCAATTATACAAAGGATATTTCATTGGAATAATAAATTATTTTTCATATTTAATTTTAAATCTAATTTTGAAAATATACAATTTTATATTATTATATTTTAATTATTCTTGAATAGCTCTTGCCAGTGCGATTTATTTTTAACCAAAATAATTGTTAAAAAGTGAATAACTTAACAGAAAAATGGATAATGTTATTAATATTCATGTTAACTTCCATTAACTTAATTTTAAAAAAAATCTCTTATAAATTATTATTTAATTTCCATTAATTAGACAATACAAATTCTCAATAATTTTTTGCTAACCTTGCAAATATTATTTTATTTCTTCAGAAACTGGTCACAGAGTGGCATTTTTATTTTATTAAGAAAATTTGATTTTTACATTTATGAATAATAATGTAAGTTTTGTAGTTATTTTTATGTGTGATTTGAATTTACAATAAAATATAATATGTAATTTTATTATTTTTCGAAATAAATAAACTTTTATCATTATTTACCAAACCGAATTTTTTAATCCAAATTGGAGAACTTGAATAAGATAATTTTAAATTGGTAATGTATTTCTCAACCATAACTTTAAATTGATTTTTATGAATTGGTCTGAAGAAAAATAAATCAAATTTTTAAATATTAAATTTCATTTGCGTTTAATAGCATCAAACTCAGATAAGAAAATATTATAGTATTTTGTCTATTTCTCCACTTATAATTGGAACTAATTTAACAGATCTCTTTTGTACTAACTAATTTTTTTTTTTAATTTTTAGGAGTTTTATATGATCTTTACATTTTGAAGGGGGAAAACAAAACTATTAAGTTAGAAATACAATAATTCTTCTTTTGAAACAAACTTTGCATATTATAAATTGTAAATTACTATACGAAAAATGAGTACAAAAAAATTAGACTTACATTTCGCAGAGGCGTGCCTGAGGAAGGCGACCCTGGGGGGCTGGAGGAGCAGGGCGGGCTGGAGGCCGGCGCACCGGAGGCCGCTGCAACGAGAGGCGTGCGAGTTAGGCGCGTGCGAAGGCGCGGACACGGCGGCGGCCAGAAGGCACAGCAGCAGCCACTGGAGGCACATGGCGCAAAGAACCCGCGCCGGCCGCCGCGCCAACTCCTGACCCTCCGAACCAACACCCCCACGTGACCGCACCACGTGACCCTGACGACCGCGACCCCTGCTGGACACGTCCGGCCACATTCGCTAATTCGCATAAGTGGATCCCGACCGCGTGACCGGCCGTGCAACCGCGACGCCAATCCTCGTCATTGGCCGACGAGTGGGGAAAAAAATAGTTAAAAAACTCCCCCGTCACGTCAGGGGGTGTAAATTTTCCTCCTTCCGGTTGGCGTGCGATTGTCAAGGTCAATTTGCATTTAGCACATTTTTTAGGTCTCAAAAAATTGAGGATTCAATTAAAAATTTCTCAACGGTGAAAGGAAATGAAGAAAAAAAGGAACTTCAATATTTACAATAGCTGATATATTAGTCTAAAAGATTCATAATAAAAACTTTTATTATAAAAAATTAATGTTTGCAAAAAGTAAAAAGTATTTAAGAAGTTTTATGCAGTTTTTAGGTAAATTTATGAAAGTGGAAAGAATTCAAAGGAAGCTCTGTGTTAATTGTTGAGGAATAATTTGAATTAAGGAGCAAGATGAAAATTGTTTAATTGTAACATAATCAAACTTCATTTTACCTTGCAATTATTATTATTATTGATAGTCAGTGATTGCTTATCTGTGATTAATAAATATTTCATACAATTTAAATATCTGCATTTATTAATTATTAAGGTTAGAATGAATCAAATAATAATATAAACAACCATTTTTGGTTACCACCACAATGCCACAGAAAGGACCATAAATGCTTTATTGAAATGAAACTGTCAAAGTACATCGTGGTTGAAAAGTATTAATATAAAAATAATAAATAACAATTTGCAAATATGATTTCCAGTTTAACCTCTTTTGAGCAACAACTTTTGTAAAAATATAACAAATATAACTTTAAAATAAAATAAATAATAATAAATAAATAATGTTTTTAATTTAAAATATAAATACTTAAAAATATAATTAAACAAATAAAAAATGCAAGAAAGGAATTAATGAAAATCATTTGTATATTTCATTTTATTGCCGCTCATGGAGATTTTTGTCTTATTTGGTCTGATTATGACCAAAGGTCAGGATATTTAGGCCAGGGGGCGATTAAATTATTTATATTTAAAACTTTTAATCAAATATTGAACTTTTGAGCGGATTTTTTTATAATGTTTTCCAAACTAATAAAAAAATGTAAAAAATTGAATATTCTTTAACAAGGAATGTTCTCCATGCATCTGAATAAATTTACTACTCAATTCTCATTAATACTATTAATTCATTTTTTTAATTATTTTACATAGCGCGATGTGCGTTTTTAGTTAAAAGTTAAAAAGTCGTTCCTTGAGCAAAGTGCATGAAAGATTTAGAAGCGAATTCCGGCAGACTTTTAATTAACGAGCACGGCAAACATGCTAGAGCCGTCAAAAGGAAAAGTTCTTCTTTGCTACTGCGCCACAGAATAATCCGTTCTTTCAGCAAACTGGCGGTCGCAAACCACAGGCGTTTTAAAATGAAAAAGAAAAGATCTAGAAAAAAGTGACCTAATTTTATATAAAAATGAAAACAACAAGAAACGTAATAGTTTTTATTTTCAAATAAATAAATTAATAACTTTGAAAATTACAGTGAAAATTTCCGTACTTTTTTATAGAAAATAATAATTTAAATTTATGAAGATTTTAAATTAATTTTTAATTCCAGAATAACTATTTCATAATTAAAATTTGAGGCCATGAAAGTTTCAAATCTTTCTGATATTTAAAACCCAAAACAAAATACTAATATACAATAAATTTAATAAACAAATAATCTCTAAATCTATTGATTTTTGTGTTCAATTTCCACTTACTCCGGTGACAAGTGTATGGAACACGACAAACTCCAATTTACAATGGTCATAATAAAATATCCTTGTTGAGTTTTGTCATGCCAACGAGAAAATGAAACATAAAATTTATACTGCCGTGTGCTGCTCGGAAAATTATCTTCCGTGTAATTTTAGTGTAGCTAAAAAATACGCCCTTGACGAAAGCCGGGGCAAAGAAAGGAGGCAATCGTTAGACACTTCTTGTATTACAAGCAATCTAGTAGAAAGCTTTCGGATAAAGAAGAACCTTTGGGACATACATACAAGAGAGACCAAAAATAATGATCAATCACAAACGCCTGACAGCTCAGCATTGGCGCGATTTTTTATTAGTAAAATTCAAAAATATTTTTAAATATTCTAGAATTTAATAGACTTTAAAATACGCAGTGCATTTTTTTTTAATAATTTGCAAAAAAAAAATTGAAATCTTTCAGAATTAAATTAGAAATTTTGTTTTTGTTCAACAAAAATTATTATAATCTCTTCTTGCAAGTGGAGTCCCCCCCTTGAAATCCCACAAGTGCCAAAATCTGCATGGGCAAAGGTCGTAAAAATTGTTATCACGACGTCACGCTCGGCCGGACTCTCGCGTGGTTCTATCGATTTTCCGCACAGCACGGAAACGCAAATTGTCGTTTTTCCAGGAACCAAAATCAGTTTTTCTGAGACAAAAATTTTATACCCGTGGATGCCGAGCAGTCTGAAAGCCATCGTCCCTCGCGTCCAGCTGCGCCCAGTGACGTCACAGACTGCCCATAACCTGCTGTCCGGTTGGTTCCTTCCTATCTCGTGCCAGCCGTGCCGACCTTCTGCCTGGACTTGTCCCAACTCGTGTTTTCGCAACACAGCTGATTTTTTATTAGCTTCGATGTGGTGTGCGGAAAGGAGCTTGATATTTGTCTGTGAACAATATGCAAATTGTTTGTTTATTTTTTGTAAATTTGATAATAATCACTCTTTTTTAATTTTTTTTTAATCTTTGAAGTTTTTATACGTACGTGATTGTGTAACGGATTATTTTGGAGGTAGCATGCTGAAGTTTGGTGCTCACTCGTTTCTGTACAACCCACTGTTTATCGTGACCAAATTATTTTCGCAAATTTCACACAAAGGTTTCACGCAATTGGATAATTAGCATTTAAATTGCTCCTATATGTTATCAAGAACATTATTTGCATATAGCCAAGTGGGGTGCACTTTGCTAATTGCGATTTTATCCAACTTCACTTTTTTAAACAGCTGAACATTCGTGGATCCGCCTTAGATGGCGCAACATGCAACTTTCATTAAAAATAACCGCGGATACCGGTTTTCTCAAATTCTCAAAAATATTTTGCTTATTTGGCGATACCAAGCTTCAATTTATAGAAAATTTTTATTTTATATCCAAATAAAACTTATATTTGATCAAATTATAAAATTTTCAATCTATATTTCATATTTATTGCGGATTCCTTGCTGAAAGTAAACCGGTATTTCAATATCAGAAAAATCAATCGGTTTGCTACCGAGATCAGCGGGAGGTCGAAGAAAGGAAAGGGCTGGCCCCGGGCAGGGAAATTGTTGTAGGACGTGCTGGACACGTGCGATGGAGGATGACGAGTCCTTCCTGGACACGAAGAGAGTGTCCACGTCGGTGTACCACAGCACTGATGACTTTGACGAGGTGGAACTTCAGGAGCGACGGCCACGAAGAGTTATTCGGGTAAATAAACGGAGAGAAAAATATTCGACCCTGACTCACTTTTTCCTCGAATTGGTGCTCATCGACCGAAACTTTGCAGGAGCAGTCGCTGTTCTTCCAAGATGGACACCGTTCAGTGGATTTTGTCCTCGCGTGGGACATTAGGATGCCCACGGCTGTCACCGACACAGCCGAACATCGAAGGTTTTTCTTCGAAGAGCAGCTCGGACAGGAACTGGAGCTCGAGACCGAGGAGGCTGAGGAAGGATCTGCCCTCACCTTTGTGAAGATCCACGTCCCGCTGGACGTTCTAAAGAAATACGCGGAAATTCTTAAACTGCGAGTGCCAATGAAAGAGGTAATTTATTTTTTTAATTTAAAAATTTGAAATATTTTAAAATTTGTTTTGATAAAAGAAAGGGGTTTTGAGTCTTTTTTGTGATTTTTATTTAAATATTTGCACAGATGGAGAAGATTTTTCAAATATTTATTCTATAAACAAAAACGGTGCACAAGGTCACTATCTAGTAATAATATTTACAATCTTCTGATTTTGAACGTTTGCCAAAATTTTGAGCTTTGCTGTCGAATATCACGAATTGGCTGCATGGTAATTTAGGCTTAATTTTTCTTCAGTTTCTGGGTAATTTTATTTGCATTGATTGATATTTATTTATTTGATCATTCTGATAAATTTTATAATAATTCATAATGCTCATCTGATTAAATTTATAATCAGGAGGGAAAAATTCGAAGTGGCAGCAAACGAAATCTGCTGCTCAGAACGACCAAGTACATTTCGCAGAAGGTAAACTAGCTCTCTAAGCGGCTAAATGAGATAGGCATGCAGTAAATAAAAAAATTTCACGCAGCGGTAGTGAAGTCGCATGAATAATACGCCCGTTCGTGTGTTTACCTATTACTGTCGGCTTGCTTAGCTTCAGGCGCTCTTAATTTATTTTGAGCCTGGCATGTAGTTTGACACACTCTTGCTATCATTTCTTGAAACAAAAATATTATAAAGTATATTTGAATAAATCCTGCTTGCTTATTCCCTTATGCTTGTGCTTAGCAAAAGTTCCAAAATGTCGAAATGTATTTTTCTTTCAATCCTGTCGATAGCAAATATTTGGCAGGATTGGAAATTTTATTTTTTTTGTTTTCATCAATATCAAAAATTTTTAGAAGGTGGATAATTATTAGGCTAACGGTTATACATTTTATCACTTTTTATACTTCTTGTTTTTGCTATTTGACTTCAACTATTGTAATATAAATTTACCTATAGATACCAGCGTTCCAAGATGTGCATGACAAGACTCATTCGCTCATGGACAGTGTCCAGACGGCTGTGGACAGGCTGCTCGGTTACATATACGTAGATTCCAAACACTTTCCCCAAAAGAGCCATCGTTTCACCGCAGTCTACTCTAGATCTAAAGAATACCTGTAAGCTATCATTAGTTCAGAACAAAATACCTTGCAGTGCTCAATATCCAATATTTTGAAAAGATATTTTTTTTAAGAAAATTAAAAAAAAAAACTTTATTTTTAACTAAAATTACTTAATTTTAGTTCATAATATAGAATTATTACATGATCAGAAATAATATTTCTTTTTGAATGCTGCAGGTTCGACACGAATGCCTCTGACTTTTTCAGCGCAGCTATTCGTTCTCGCATTGTTGACTTTATTTTAGACAGAACCTATTACGAGGACAAATCACTAGATCCGAACGCCCTTGGCATCAACAGGTTGATCACTGAGGGCGTCTACAGCGCTGCTTACCCTTTGCACGATGTGAGAAAAACAATTTTTTTTTTTCAATTTTTGCATGATTTATTTTAATCTTGAAGGGTGACCTGAAAACCCCTGGCAGCCAGCGCTACCTCCTTTACCATGAGTGGGCCTCAGTCAAGCGCTGTCTACGTTACCAACCCCTCGACTATGTCAAGGACTACTTTGGGGTTAAAATTGGTCTCTACTTTGCCTGGCTGGGATTCTACACGCACATGCTGTTGCCAGCCTCGGTTGTCGGACTGATCTGCTTCGCCTATTCATGGGTGACTTTACCACTAAACAAACCTACCCAAGACATCTGCAATCCAGGTGAGTTTTAAATCCTAAAAGCTTCATATTGACTTGTTTAAAAATCAATTCAAAGGCAATGAATCTGTGTGGATGTGTCCGTTGTGTGACCACTGGTGCGACTACTGGGACCTGCGCGAGACTTGCTTCCATGCCAAAGTCACATACCTCTTTGATAATCCGTCAACTGTCTTCTTTGCCATCTTCATGTCCTTCTGGGGTAAGTTTGGTATTATTAATAATAAATAAACAAATAACAATCTTTAATTATTATTGTTGTTTATTTTTCTACAAATTTTAAAAATAAATCTCTCTTTCAGGAGCTACTTTCTTGGAGTTGTGGAAAAGGTACTCAGCCGAAATCACGCACCGTTGGGATCTGACCAGTTTTGACATCAATGAGGAGCACCCTAGGCCGCAGTACCTGATGCGAGTTGTCCGCCTTTCTAAGACGAAGACTAGAAAAAACTCTATTACCATGGAAGAGGAACCTCACGTGCCATTCTGGAGCCTTAGATTTCCAGCTACTGTAATTTGAATTAGAACAATTTTAAAATTAAATCACTATTTCAATTTCCCATTCAGGTGTTCAGTTTTTCGGTTGTGCTTCTTTTGATCCTGTTGGCGTTGGCGGCAGTTCTCGGTGTTGTCCTCTACCGAGTGTCCGTACTGGCAGCTTGGCACAGCCTGAAGGCCCAAGTGGAAACAAGCTCGGTCATTCTGATCACCTCGGTCACGGCTGCATGCATCAATTTATGCTGCATTGTCATCTTCAACTGGTTTTACATGTGGTTGGCAGAGAAGTTGACCGAGATGGAATTACTCAGGACACAGACCGAGTTCGACGATTCGCTCACCCTTAAAATTTACCTCCTGCAGTTCGTCAACTACTACGCTTCTATTTTCTACATAGCTTTCTTCAAGGTTTCACTACGGCTTTGAGAAATAATTTTGTAAATTAACATTTACATTTGCAGGGAAAATTTGTGGGCCGACCTGGCGATTACAACAGAGTTCTCGACTACAGGCAAGAGGAGTGTGGTCCTGGTGGCTGTTTAATGGAACTTTGCATTCAGCTGTCAATCATCATGGTTGGCAAGCAAGCCGTCAACACTTTGCTCGAAATGCTCTACCCGTAATATTTTCAATTAAAAAGAAAAGGCAGCTAAAAAAATTAATTTTGGCAGGTTGTACTACAAATGGGTGAACACAATCAAAGTAAAGACAGGGATTTCGGACAGCCAGAAAGAGTTGAAGAAACCCCTTCAGTGGTGCAAAGATTACAAGCTGGTGGAGTGGGGGCCGAGCAGTCTCTTTGACGAATATTTGGAAATGGGTATTTTGGATTATAGTCAACCCAATTTGGTTTTTACAAAAACTTTTTCTCAGTTTTGCAGTATGGATTTGTGACCATCTTTGTGGCAGCTTTTCCTTTAGCGCCATTCTTTGCCCTGCTAAACAACATTTTGGAAATGAGGTTGGACGCCCAAAAACTGCTGAAGTTCTACCGGCGACCTGTGACTCAGCGTGTGCGTGACATTGGCGTCTGGTACAGGATTTTGGACTCGATCGGAAAACTCTCAGTCATAACAAATGCATTCATTATTGCTTTCACCACGGAATTTATTCCCAGACTGGTAATGTTTAATAATAAGCAGCAAAGCCTTTCAAAATTTTGTTGGAAATTTTCTTCAGGTTTACAAATATGCAGTGAGTTCAAATCAATCGTTGGAAGGCTATCTAGACTTTTCACTGGCGTCCTTCAACGTCACCGACTTTGAAGATGGTTCTCGTCCTCAAATGCGAGGCACCGAGCACGTTGAGGTTTGCCGCTACCCTGATTTCAGAATGGCACACACCCACGAAAACAAGTACTCCAAGACAGACCTCTATTGGCACATTATGGCTGCAAGGTAAATTAACAAATAGATTAATCCTTGGATGAAATTTTTATTGTTGAATCTGCAGGTTTGCTTTTGTGGTCGTATTTGAAAACGTCGTGGCCCTGGTGATGATTCTGGTGCGGTGGTGCATTCCTGACGTGCCACGCACCCTTCGAGCGCAGATCAGAAGGGAGGCTTATCTCACCAACGAGATGATCATCGCCAAAGAAGCTGAAAGGGCGCGAGGAGATAAGCCGAGCCCATCCCGCTCTTCACGGTAAGACCTTTTTAATTAAGTTCATTCCTACATAAGAAATCAAATTTAAACTGATATTAGATTAATCAAAAGAAATTATTTATTGGTTGAACTGAAATTTAAAATTTTTGAGCAGGTCCACAAACAGCTTGCCGGATGGCTTGCGCTCGAGACAAACTTTGAACGGTCCAGTTGCGGTCTAATTACTACCCCAGCCTTTTCTGATTTGTAATCTCATTAAATTAACCACGTTCATCAAACATTTTTCTAAAAATTTATATATTCGGATGTTACGATACATTATATTTGTACTTTGCAACATCTATATGTAAGTGTTCAGGATATGACAGATCTGACTCGTCCGTCTAGTCGAGAGCTGCCAGACAGCTCCTCTACTGTTATTTTTGTGATAATTATTCACGTGTCGCACAATTATAACCAATCGCACACATACCCCGCCTTATATTGATACCATTCATTAGATGTTATTATGGTCATTCGAGAATTTTGCCAAATAATCTCATTGTTATTTATTGGTGTTCCTTCAATTTGACTGCTACGAGGAGCGGCTTCTGATTTTTATTTAAAACATTTTTACTGTTTTCGATGTTTTTAACTGAATATAATGTCATGGCAACTTTTTGGCATCTTTTTTCGCTTTATGCATGCTTAAAATGTGCTCGATCTGGAGCATTTTGAAAAAATGAAATATTTTATATTATATTGCAGTTAATTAAGAAATCTCAAATTATATAATTGCATTGAATAAATTTCAAAATGTATACTGAAATTATTTTTTCTCCTAGAGAATAAAAATATGTGAAAAGTTCAATTCTAAAGTCATTTAATTTATTGAAGACAGACATACAAATTAGTGCCTTCCTGCAACACAAAGTGAGCCGGAGGGGATGAATCCGGGCAAGCACGAGCAAACGCCGCTCACACATCCAGAGTTGGGCGCCAGACTGGAGCACTGCTGGTCCTGTTGGCAGCTGCCGCCAAGGGCCACCTCTTGAAAATTCAAACAATCATTACCATCTGCGCGCGTCAACCTTCATAAGAATCTTACGGGAGATGCAATTGACTCCATCGAGAGAACCGACATATCCAGCGTTGCACTGGCAAGTCCTGGCGGTGCACGAAGAGTTCGGGTCAAAGGTTGTGCACTGCTCTTCCACACTGCAGGCGTCACCAACTTGATGTGCGCCTATTTTTTTATTATTATTAATATGTATAATAGTAGATGGGTACATTTGCATAATATTAATAAATGTGCGACAGAAATAAAAAGAAAATTAAATAAATGTCAAGAAACATTATAAAGTAAAGAAGAATGAAGCATCAGATCACTCTGATTCATTTTGCAGAAGAATTCCACTTTCAGCCTTCGTTGATTCATGTATGTTTGAATCAGAGATCAGAGTAATTAAATGTTAAATGCCAATTTTCCTTTAATTTAATTCTAAATATTTTTATAATAGAACGAAAATTCGCACGAAAGATACATAATATATAATAATATCTGAACAAAAAAATAAATTAGTTTTGTATAATTCCCTATTTTTTTGCAAAATCCATTTTTAAGATTTTTTTTAATTTGATTATATGAGCTAATTTTTATCACAGTAAATGGTATAAAAAATAAACTTACTGTCAAGACAAGCGCTGTTCTGGCTGTTGGCAATCCATCCACCTCGGCACCTGCACCTGTTGCCGAAAACAGTGATCACGCAAAGAGCGTGCTGGTCGTAGGCTGAACACTGAGCGTCAATATCGCAGGGTCCGTTAACGTTGGTCGAGACTACCCAAAATTAAATTTCTCATTATATTATCTCAATTTCCAACATTGAAATTTTACCAGGGTAGCATGGGCCGTTTCCGTTGGAGACGAATCCTGCCTTGCAAACGCATCTCTGGCTGACGCATTCGGCTTCTCCCAGAGCAGTGCACTGATCGCTCTCGAGACAATGAACTCCATATGTGGGCGCCAGGCACGCGGTCTTGGAGTCGCTGTTTGTGTATTCCTTGGTGCACTCGCAAGTCGGTCCCTGGCAAAGGGCGTACGGAACCTGAAAGTGGACAGACACAGAAAATAATTATTCATTTGTAAATTTAATCCTTGAGTTTGATAAATTGGCTTTATTATATTATTGCATTGCATTTCAAATTGAAAAAATCAATCTTTTCAGAATAAATTTAAAGTTGAAATAATAGTAAAATTTATAAAAAGTCTAAGTTTTTACCTTTTTCGCTTATATATGTCTTCTTATACCTCGTCAATATACGCACGAATATAAGCAAAATGTTTCCAAAATTTAAAATGAAATTATGTTTCTGTCAATATTTGTTGAGAATTTAGGAGCTTTTGGATTAAAATTTCAACATAAAGAATCCAATAATGAAAGAAAAAGCTATATTTTTCTTCATTTTTATCTCTGATTGTGACTTTACTTGTGAATTGAAAATTTTATTGCCGACTCTGTACATTTAATTGAGTAGCTCCCGGTTTACGTAAATATCGAGTCTCTCAATGGCTTCACACTCACTTCTGGCGACGCAAACACGCGTAACATAAAGTATAGTGCGTTTTATTGTATTTTATCTAACGGCGAGACGTTGTTGAAGAGCATGTTTTCGTCTCGTGATCTTGAGAAAATGATAATTATAACACTGAAAAGTAAAGATCAGCACTTTCTTCGAGACTCGAGAGAGCACGGTCTTTGTTTCAAGAATAATTCCACGCATGACTCATTTGTTTTTCCATTATAAACATTATAAAAGTAAGAACGGACTGAAGAATTTAGGTAATTTTGCTCATACTAAATTATTTTATTCATATACACAATAAAATAAAATCTTCAAAAATTTTGGGCAAAATTTTAGTCCTGCACCAATTATTAAAACTTGATCAACGTTACAATTAAGACTGGGGTGTCTATTTCACTTTTCACTAAATATTTCTAAATAGAGATCTTTGCCAATCTATTTTTTTGAGACAATTTTAAATTCTGCATCATTGTGAAACTTTCTTACGCATCTAAAAAAAAATCAAATACCTTTTGACAATAGTTAAGCAAAAATTACATTGAAAGTGCAAAGCAAAAAGAATCATTCTTTAAAAAAAGTATAGCCCTTTTTTATTAATTGATAATTCTGCTTGTGCATCGTCTGAATATCAGAGCACAAAATAATATTAAAAGAACTAGAAAAAATAAAAATACCTTTGTTTAAAAAGATGATATTTGGCAGAAAAGACTTTTAGCATTTTCATTTATGATTAAAAGCGACTTTATCCCGGACATTTACTACCAAAGACTCACATAGTTTTTAAAGAACTTTTGCTCTCGGTTTAATTTTTTTTAATTCCAATTTTGAATATTTTTGCGTTTTATTTCTGCAAAAATTAAAAGAGAAAAGCTTTTTTCCATACCTGATTGCAAGTTGCGCCAAAGTCGATGGAGCAGGAGCGTCCGAGGACACCATCGCAACCACCGGTTGAGGTGGCCAGGTTTCGGTCGTCGCACACGCAGACCCGGCTGGTCGGGTCACAGACCGAGTTGGCGACGTCAGTGCAATCGGTCGGAATGGCAGGGTCGCACGGAGCGTTCAGGACGGCGTTGGCCGCAGAGGCCAGCAGGGCGACGAGCACCAATTTGGACAGCATTTTCGTTAATTTTACAGCGAGAGGATCTCGCGATGGCGCTTTTATACTTTCGGCAGTGGACCGCCCTGGCAACAGCCGTTTCCAGATAAAAGAAAAATTAAGTAGGGCCTTTAGATTTGGAGTGCTTTGTTTTCGTCTGATAATGAGATGCCGTCTGTTGAGGTGCACAGTCAATTAGTTTCGGGTTAAAGTCAATTAAGTCATCATTAGGAAGCACTGGCTCCAGAAGGCACCATTTGGATTAACTAATTTTGATATTAATTCATATTAATAATCAATTTTTTATAATTAATTAGGGAAAATAGTTTATTTTATTGGCAAAAACATGGGAAAAAATTATGGGGGATATATTCATATGCTAACTTGCTTATGGGATTTGCTGAGGTGCTAACTTAGCTCGTGAATATCCCCCAATTTATTTAGGTGGAAAGAGGGAAAAAGCCAAATATAACAGACAATTTTTTTTTGTATTATCAACCTTATCAACATTTTTTTTTTGGGTATAAATAAATATAAATAATCACGAAATTCCATAAAAAAAATGGATGATTTTTTTATTCAATAGTGTAAAAATGGGATATTAATTACTAAAATAGGTGATCTTTCATCATGTCAGTGATTATAAGTCATCAATTTATTTTTCATTCATAGAATATTAATTTTTTTTAATTGAATTATATTTTGATTAAGTTCCAAGGATAAAATCGTGATCACCTATTTTACTCATCCCTAGACTGAACTATTCATTCAAATTTTTAGTTTTAAAATTTGCAGCAATAATTATGTTAGTTACGTTAAATTTTGTATATAATTATTAATTAATATAATTATGGTATATGCATATATTTATTTTTTGGTTCATTAATGTTTTTGAATTTTGAACAAATGACAATAATCGCATAAAAATCAGGTCAGTTAATACAATCAGGAACGTCTCTCTTACCATAAGAGCTGTCACGTAGTTTTTTCAACTCTTTTTGTTAACTTTCTGATTATTGATCGATTTGATAGCAGATGTATTCTTTTTTTTTGCATTTTTTTTGCGCAACCGAGGACTCTAAGCTGTGAATAATCGACAGTAAATGAGTGATTGGATCAATTCTTTATTATCATCAGACCTACTTATCAAAATACACACCTCTAAAATTAATGGGGCTTATAATCTTAAGCGCGAATGATGATATGAAAAGTCGTGCGATTGTTATCTGCGGAGGATGCAAAAAAATTAGCAATTCCGAATATAAAAAAAAATTATGATATAATAATTAATTTGCACATTAAAAAAAATGAATTCATGAGGGTGCCTTTGTACATATATTTGATGAATGCTTCAGTTGAACACAAAATCATTAAAAATTTTTCAAGGAGGATTTTCGGACCAAATATTATGAAAAATCGACTCATAGTCGGCTATAAAATTAAAAAGTCCCTTTGTGTCGAAATCAGTCAGTTTTCATTGTCATTCTTTCCAAGTTGGTTTGGAAGCTCCGCAGGGGTTGCTTGTGAGGGGAAAATGGTATTGTAGTCAGGAGGCGGCTCTTCGTGCTCCGGCCGCACCTCGATCGTTGAAAGACTCAGGCCCAGTTGACTCTCTGTCTCGGACTTTTGGCGGCTCTTGAGGATTACGACGGCCGCAAGGACGACGGGCACCACGATGGCGGCCACCACGACGAGTGTCCACCCTGAGGCGCCCACAAACCAGTTGATGTCTGGAAAAAATCACGGTCGGATACATTTACGCAAGTGATAAGCGGCGAGCAAAAATTTGTCGCAATAAGCAACATTTCAGAGATGAACTTTAGATTGTATGAAAATAAAATCGATAATCTCATACAACTTGCACTTAACAAAATGAGATGAAAGTTTGTTTGCTAAATTAATCAGATAACTTTTAAGCATTTTAAATCAGTCAAAATGTTTTATAAGTTCTTGCAAATTGAAAAAAAAAATTAAACATCATGCAAGTGCATAGAAATTTTATCAATTCCGCTTCGCGATAAAAAACCACCTCTAATCTTATGACTGGATTTGAATTTATCGTTTAAAATTTATCTGAACTAAAATAAAAAATGAAAATGAGTTGAAATTTTTATAAAACGTTAATTGATGTATGGTGATTTGAATTTAAAGTCGGCTTTTCCTCGCGGATGGGTTTTGTGACTTGTTTAATAAGAAAAATCAGTATCCTGCTCTACATGTTTCAGCTGCGGGCTGCAGCTTTAATTAATAGGCTTTCTTAAGTCGTTTCTGTTTAGGTTCTTGAAGTTGTTGCTGTGGAACCTTTTGGCACTCGAGGTGGTAATATTTGTTGAAATAAAATCCGGCTTCCTCGGTGGAGATGAGCAACTTTATTGTTTCTGCATGATACAGAAAATGAGCAGGGATTTTCTGTACCAAGCAGAAACAATAAAGTTGCTCATCTGCACCGAGGAAGCCGGATTTTATTTCAACTTTCTTAAGTTTTTCTTAAAAAATAAAAAACTTACAAAACCCATCTAGGAAAAGCCGACTTTAAATTCAAATCACTATGAATGTATGAATCAACCCTCTATATATAGTGAAATTCTACCACAAAGTTGAATTGATTATATTGAAAAATCCCAATTATTCATTTATTTACAAAATTTCTTCAGTTTTCCATTAAATTTTCAAAACTAATCAAAATAATTAAAGATATTCGTAGATTTTTCATGTATCAAAACAAAGCGGTTTATTCTTTTGAAGAAGAAAACTGATTTAATTCCTGTTCTACAAAATTAATTTTTGCTAAAAACATAATTATATTGAAGGAAAATTACCTTTGTGGGGTGTTGTGTTGTTGTAATGTTGGAAGTGCTCCTGCTCTGTGAGGAGGTTGAGTTGGTGGTTGACGAGCAGCGGGCTGTACTTGTCGTCCTGCTGTCTGCAAAGGACGCCGATCTCGTCGGCGCCCGAGGCCGGACAGTTGAGCAGGTGGTCGCACACGACCGACTGGGGCACGCAGAAGCGCAGGTGGCGCGTCACGTCGCTGGCCGGCGTGTCCATCATGACGCAAGGGTAGTACCGCTCGTTGTCCTGGCACACCTCGTTCATCCCCAGGGCGGTCAGCAGCACCGTGTGGCCGACGGGCGGCCACCCCTCCGGCCCATCGCCCGTGTCTCCGCGCACCACCAGACTCACTTCCTCGGTGAACATGCTCGGCAATCGCGAGTGCGACGAATTTTGACGCGCGCACAGGTTGCGAAACTCCCCTTCGAAGGTGGCGCTTCTATGCTGCTTGAAATACGGCACAAGGTATTAAATATCATATTAAAAAGCAATGAATTAAAATAATCTATGACTGTAAATTTTCGTATAAGATTATCTCATCAATAAAATATGCATTTTTGCCAAAAATACAGCAATATTTAAGCGATATTGAATCAATTGGAAATTGTTTTTGCTTTAAATTAAAAGGTAACCGGCAAGTTGAGTACAGAAAATGATTTTATTAACGATTTTCAATTTCATGTATCTTAATGATTGTAGATTTATGATGCAATTATATAAACAATTTTTTTATTTTGCAAATAGTAAAGATATTTTGAGCTTAGATTTTTAGTAAAAACGATTCCAGACAAAATTTCATAGGCATTTAAATATTTTTTCTTCAAAGAATTAATAAAAAAAAAAAAAAAAATTAATTGATTAAAATAAAGTAAGTAAAATAAAACTTTTATATATATGATTTAAATTTGTTAAAATCTATTTACAAGCAGTTTATCTATTTTTTATTAAACAATTATTCATAATATTTTTTGGGTTTTCTTTGTCAGACAGAAAAAAAACCTGTATCTTAAATTTCTTTAAAATTTTAAGAATCATAATGTTGTTCTTTTTTTTTAAATTTTAACAACGTTATTATCTGGGGTTTCAAATTTAACAAAAAAACGAAGCTCTCACGATTTTTGAAAAATAAATATACAAAGTACCCTTTAAAGTTTTATTGCATGCAATTTTACACTTATTTTATTACTCCTCAAAATCAACAGCAGAACAACATGAAAGCCGACAGAAATTTTAAATTCATGCAAAATGATTTCTCTGATGTTTTCTTAACTAATTTTGTAACAATTACTGTTTTTAATCTTTTAAAAGTGGATTCCATTGCAAAAAGTAAATAATTTGTTTCACTTCTTGCATATATATTTCGTCTCTCTTCACTTCACTATAGTACATAAGGAATTTTAATATGACTTTATATTGTTGTTTTCAAAACCCGACCGTTTATTCAATTATGTGCAATTATTGTAATTATTAAGTGTCGGATTTTACGACTCACCATTACGTCCAGTCTGATGGGGCATTGATCGGTCTGGTTGTCGAGGTAGGCGATGCCGAGCAGGTGGCCCGCTGGCGCAATTACGCGCACGCTGCAGTTGGCAACGAAGGGTTGATTCTCTTTATGTGGCTGTTGCCACAGGGTGAGCATGACCGCCTCATTCACCCTCACCTCCGGCTGCGACAACTGGCAAAGTTCAGGCAACGACCCTGCCCAAAATAAGAAAAAGTTTAAACCAAATTTCTTTCATTATTACAATTTTTAAGAAATTCAGCGAAGATTCAAATTTTCATTTCCAGAGCATTTTTTTTTTTAATTTCTTCATTCTTTTCTTACCTATTTCCTATTATTATTATTATTTTTTAAATCTTATTGCCATCAATTTCTCTAAATTTTTGACACATTTCTTCTTGGTGGTACCGTTTCGTCATTTTTTTTACAATTATTTTTAATCAAACCAATGTATTGGATATAAGCCATTAAAAACAATGAGGAGTGGCGTTAAAAAATTTATTAATTCTTTTCAATTCAGCGTGCGACTCTCTCAAATTTGTTCAGAGTGTCTGAGGTCAGTGAACTGTCAAAAGATACATCAGCCGGCTGAAGTGCGTCGGTTCAAAATTCAAGGCATTGTATTGAAAATGAGAAATATTGACAAAAATTCGCCGCGCTCAGAATCGTGAAAATAAAATACTTACAATTATATTAAAAAGGAAAACTCCCTACAGAAGAATTTACAAATATTTTGCAACTCAAAACTGATGCTACTATTTTTTTTTTGCAATGAATTGTGAAATTTATATTTATCTAACCCATTGTATAATTTGAGGTGCTACTTTATTTAATAAATTACCGGGTGTGGAATTCTTTAGTAAAAATTAATTTTTAATAAATTATTTTAGTTCTATATGTTGTAATTTACCGTTCAAAATTTGTTTTTCAGTACTCATGACTTATGAAATTCCGTTTTTTTATTCTTTAAAATATTTGAAAATAAAAAATTTCTTCAATGAGCTGGGCAAGCTGAGGGACCATTTTTCACATGGCTTTTAAATTCATAAAAACTGTTCTGGAGTTCAAAGATTCATTTTTGAAAACAAATTTTACTCGCTGATAAAATTTTCCCAGTGAAAATTATCCCACGTTTTCATTTTCGCAAAACAAACTGAATAAGAAAGAAGCTCTTGTGCATGAAACTAGACCGGGTTGGAGGGATTCGGGGGTGTTAAGGTCTTACGGTGGTCATAGTGGGCTGCGGCGAAGGCCATCAGCAGGAGCAGAAGGGTGCTGCGCATTACCCGGCCGGCTGAAAACACTGTTCTGGCAAAGGGCAGGCCCGTTTTCGCTGACTCCGCACAGATAAGGTGTTGATTTGCATCTCGGGTAACCCACATCGCATCTCTCGTTGCACTCCAGCCTCACTCGCCGTCTTTGGCTACACGTACACAGTCATGCATTTTATTTTATGCGATCGCTGCGTGCACCTTCTACGGACGCCACTCGCGGAATTCGCGCCGCCGAGAAGCTCAACGCCGGCCGCGTTTCAAAGTGCAGACAATTTTTATATTTCTTTAATCTAAAGTTTATTCTCAAGAAAGGTGAAGTTTTTTATGTATAGTATTAAATGTCTAGAAAATGGCCTTTCTTTTTTTTTGAATGAAGTGATAATTTTATGCCGTATAGTTTTGAATTATTTTAAATTGGCGATTATTTACAAACCAAAACAAACAATAAGAGTCAATGCTATACAATATAAGGGTGTGTGTCTGTTAGTTATTTTTTACCTTTCCATTTTTGATGATTATAATTTTTTTCAATCTAGAATGAATATTTAACACACTCGTTCTCCAATCTAATTGAATGTAATACAATATTTGTTCAAATCAAAGGCGATATTGAAACTGATTATTTATAAAATGCTTAAATTTTATAATAATGCAAGTAAATATTTGTAGTAAAAAGAAACTATAAATCTTAAAAAAAAAAAAAAAAATATAAATTGAATTTAATAAAATTCAAAAATTTGAATGTATTTACAACACAAATTAACTTAACTATAAAATGATTGTTGCACTTTAAAATAAAATTTTATATAATAACGTTATTTATAACTTGTAAATTTAATGAAAAAGCATTTTAGAGCGGAAAGACTATTTCATCAAATTATTAATTAGTAATCAAATTTTTTTTAAATACATTAGCTGTTAGCAATTTATTATTAATAAGCGTAATTAGGCAGAAAAATTTGAAAAAAATTAGGAAAACTTAATTTTGGAAATATTAAAATTGCAGAAGGATTTTTTTAAATAATAATGTTTTCCTACATAATTCCTAGATTAAAGTGAAGTAATTTCTGAAAAACTTTTGTTGTGTACAAATCCAATTGAGTTAACGTACGGTATAATAAAGTCAGTGATTAGCATGACCTCATAATTTGTGTTGATCGTATTATATGTATTATAATACACTTTTTCTTTTTTTTTCTTGGTTTACAACTTATTCTTACAAAAAGAACTTATTATTCCTCTGAAATTTAGCTACTGCGTATTTTAAAACTATTTCATTAAGGGCTGGATTATTTTATCAATTAGAATCATGCACTTTTTTATAAAATGGCTTTCATTATTAAGTTTTATTACATTGCAATTATATAATTTTGAGTCATATATACAGTAATTGAAATAAATGCAAAGCAACAATTAAAAAAAATTCAACACACATACGCACTTTTGGTCAGCCCAAATTTCTCGAAGCAACTGTCACAGACAAATGAGACGTCGTATTGGCACATACAATTGTTTACGATCAATCAGCTGCTCTGGCAGTTTGGGTCTTTTTATGGAGCAAAAATGGTTGTAAAAATTTTATGTGGTTCATAATTTGAAGAACAAAAATGTATGCTTATTATGCTTAATCTGGTAAAAATAAATTATTATAAAACTTGTAGACTTCTATTGCAAGCTGGGGGCACGCGCACTATAATCTATATTTGTAGGAATAAGACACGCTCATACACTCTCTTTTTCATACAAATCACACTCTAGTAGAAATTGAGTCTGAAATTAATTGATTTTTTTTATCTGGGACCGGCAACGGCTGCCCTGGGTTGAAAGGCGAATTGGCTCACGCCGACTCCCATTCGGCGTCTCCTTGATTCAGCTTGGCAGGTAAATTGGGAGCAGTCCTGTCTTCGTACGGCGTCCATCACGTCACCCATGTGGTTTGAAAGGGCTCGGGCCACACTCGGATTCACCCTAAAAAGATGCAATTTCATGATTGTGATCTTCAGATACAAAATAAGTAAATGATACACTAAAATTCCATAAATTTATTTTCAGCTTTAGGCAGATGCAGAGATTGATCCCACTTTAAATGTTATTCAACAAAAAATAAGAATATAAGTGTTTTATGTATTTCAAATTTATTTATTAAAATATTATTGAATGTTAAATAGAACCTTAAATTTCATTTTTAACATTAAAAGTATAATTCTTGCGCCAATTTTTTTAAAATTATTATTCGAAAATCTTGATTACAGCTGCAACCTTTTTTTCAATGAAACATTAATTGCTTAAAAAACAGCAATGAATAGCGGCTTCAAATAGACATGACACCATAAATAAAATTGAATAATTTCAAATAAAATAAATTTTGAATATGATCATTTTTAATTTATTAATTCTGAATTCCTTAGCAAATCCTTCCACTTTCTTTTCAAAATTGGTCAAAAATTTGAAGGTCTAAACAAAGCAATTACGTAATGAACAAGGTAATTGATTAAATAGAAAGGAAAAGCAGCCGTCAAAATCAATAGCATATTTAAAAACGGTTTGCTTAAATATTGCATGCATTTTATGCAAATAAGCGTAATAAATTAGAGACGAGTAAGCCTGTTGCGGATGCGCGAGAAAGCCGCAATTTATTAAAAAAACAAATGTGACGAGAGTTGTCGAGGAATTCGCGCCGCGTGTGTGCGAGTGAATGTGAAAGTGCGGGATGAGCCAGTTTCGAGGGCTTTCACCTCGGATCTCAGCATGCGGTAAAAAAATAACACTTGAACAGGTCGGAAATGAAAAGTCGAATTGAAAACTCACATGGTCAAGAATGTGGCCATCTTCTTCTCCATGAGGATGACCGAGTCCTGCGACTGTTGGGTCATCACGTCGCAGAAAATGCGTTTGGCGCAAGGAGTGTCCTCGCTCCAGCTGCTGTGTCCGTACTTGGACAGTTGCGCCAAAAAGCTGTCCGGCTGACCGCCCTGCAAATCGTGCACCATGTTGCCGAACATGACGTCCTCCTCGTTGCTGTTGCGATCCTGTTTAATATTGAAAAATTGAACTTTTTACAATCATTTAAAAAACTAAAAAAAAAAACGAAAAACCTTCCATAAAAATCTTTAAGCACAAAGTTTAATAAAGTCAATGACCTTTTTTACATGCTTTAATTAATTTGTCAAAATTTAAATACTTTTAATTTTTGAAACAAATATCACGGATTTTGCAAAAGATAAAATAAAAAGAAAATTTACTTTTTTAATGATAATGTTTACTTTAGTGTATAGTTTAATTAATTCTTCTAGAAAATAAAACTTTAGATATTAAATAAACGGTTTTACGTTAGCTTAAAAAAATTATTAAAATAAAAATTATATTATTATTGATAATTTTGTCAACATAATTCATTATCTTCCTTTCATATATTAGATTATTTTTATGTTAATTAATTTATTAATTCATATTTAAAAGAAATTTAAAACAATTATTCTGGATAAAACGTAGAATTTCTAAATTTGCATGCAATTGATACTTTTTTTTTTTAAATATAATTAAGTAATGTCATATTTCATTCGCTAATAAAGTTTTGATCATCATTACATTTTGAGTGGGTTATTTTTTTCATTTACAATCAATTAAATTTTACTATGACAACAATTAAATAACATTGAGATTTTCATTATTTTCAATTTTAAAGAAGCATTATAAATTTAAATATATTTTTGTCTTACCTGGAATGCGATGAGCGGTCCGCCTCCAGTGAGCAGCGATCTTCTGGTTCTGCTCTTTCCGTGCACAACCTGCGTGGTCTCGAGCATCCTGGAGATGGCTGCGGCGCCAAGTCCGAGGGCGGCGCCGCCGGCGACGAGTCCGATGGCGGGGGCGAAGGCGACGTGTCCGCCGGTGAGCAGCGGCGCCACGACGCCGAGCTTCTCCTGGGCGCGCGTGCTGCCGGTGGCGATGCCGAAGTTGGCGCCGATGTTTTGGGTGGCGGCGACGATCGGCTCCATGACGGGTCGCGCCAACTCGGCCATGCGCGAGTAGCCGGTCTGCACATTGTCGCGGATCAGTTCGGTGAATCGCATCCAGAAGGGCCGCGAAGAGTCGTCCAAGGGCGAGTAATAGGTCGCGTAGGTGTTTAGAGACGAGGGACTTCCGGTCTGCTCGGGCAGGTACTTGTAGCCCTTGTTCTTGTACCGGTACTTGTACACGTCCAGGCCGTCGTCATTGAACTGGTAGGGAAGGGTCTTCTTGGGTGGACGCGGCTTGGGCAGGTCGTACGACTTGGCAGGCGAGGCTGTTGCTTCGTAGGGACGCTGGTGGTGCAGCGCCTCGGCCGGTTCGTAAGGGTACGGACTGTGATCGTTGTGGATTTCCTAATACAAAAAAATCAGAATTTTTAAATCTTTCATGGGAATTTGCAATTATAAAAAAAGCCTGAAGAAAAAGGAAAAATGTTAAAATTGTATGTTGATTGAAAATGTTTAAATAAATAATTATTTCTAATTCATTTATTCTTGCCGTTCAATAGTCCGATTGATACAAAAAAATTACTTATTTGAGAGGGAAAATATTGAACTGTTGTATTAAAAGGCAACAATATGAAAATAATTATAATCTTTCAAGATCAAAACATCAATTTAGACAGAGCCTTGAGCCTATTGAAATTTTATTTGAGATCAGTTTATTAAAAGGATTTGTCAAAATATAGCTTTATCGTTAATAATGTTTTTTATTTTGCATCTAATTTCATCAGCAATTTTTTTAACACTGTCGTGAATAACATGGTTACCTCATACATATAAAATTACATATTACATTTCTTATTTAGTTCTATTTCTGATAAAAACTAAGATTATTTGCACTCTGCATTCAAATAAATGATCTGATGCAATCTTATTTTAACTTAAAACATTTTTTTAATTGAAAAGAGCTTTGTTTAAAGCGCAGATTTGTATGTATTTTATAAAATCACTATCAACTTATAAATAGCAGCTTGACTTGCAAGATAAGCTCTAATAAAATATGCTTCTGCTTGATGTCGATGTCATTAATTAAATAAATAATTAAGGTTATCAACTTATCAATTAATTAATATTTAATAAGCCACAGACTTCATCATATGAATGCTGCGTCAGCAATCCTAATGTTTTAAAGAAAACATTAAGTAAATAAAAACAATAAAAATGAAGAAAAATTGTTGTTTTTAATTTTTATCTACTTCAAATCTGCTTTTTTACATTTTTATTGCTGCACTATATAGTTTTTTTTTATTTAAACTGCCTCATTAATTAAATTCATTATGTTACCATCAACTATATAGGTTAAAAATAAAATAAATCACCCTCTCCCTACTATAATTTAATTTTATTTGTGCCAAAATATCTGTTTACTTTTATTCTTTTTAATGGAAATAAACCTTTATAAAATTTTATTTATTATTTGTTTAGTGCATTTTCTTTTATAAATATATATTTAATACCTTTTTAATTCATACTATTTCCATTTATTTTAATAATAAGTATTTTATTTTATTTTACTTCACATTGTTCAAATAATTTTTTATTTAATTCATTTTATAATAAAATTACTGACTATCAGTCTTTATTTCTTCTTGGACCACTTCTAATCAGTTGGTGTTGGTTGTTGGTTTTGTAATCCTTTTTATTCTAACTATATTGCAAATTAGCTATGAAAATTGAATTAAATTTTGGCTTTAGAATTTTAATTTTTTTATTACATTGTGCAAATTTAAAATTTATATTCAAGGAAATAATGTGCAACAAATCGCTTAGAGTTTCTTACCTGTGGGTTATCCTGAGAAAAGTAGACAGGGGGTTGTTCGTAGGTTGGTTTTTGGGCGACGTCCAGTTCGCGGGCGAGGTGCATAACGGGCTGGGCCCCAAGTTCAGGGTGCGCGTACTGCAGGATGGGCGCCCTGACGGCCGTCGGGCCCTGGTCAAGCACCGTGGGGCGGATGGCTTCGAGCTCGCCAGTCTTCCTCGCCTGTCTCGTATGTTGGGTCCTGCTGGAGGGGGCAGGGGCGTCGTTGGGCACGAGGACGTTCTTGATGACGCGCGCGTTGCGGTAGGTGTGCGTCCGGTCGTGCTCGTCGTCCGGCACTCGGACGCCCGTGATCACCGGAATGCCGTCCGAGTCGACGGTCATCATTTGCCGGCCGGAGCGACTGCTCGCCTTGGTGCCGGCATCGGCAGGGATGACCTTGACCGTCTCCGAGGTCACCATCACCGGGTTGGGGATCCACTCTTGCTGCTGGAACAACTGCGGCGTCTTCGAACGACGCTTCACCACCAGCGTGGCGCCCTGCAGACGGTACTCCTGCGTTTCAGCGCCATTCTCTGCAACTTCAATTAAAAAAATAATAATAAATAAAAAAATTTCAAATATTTTATTTTTATATCATCAAAACATTATAATTACTTCTTTTAAATATACCTTAATCTTTTTTTTTTAATTTTAATGATTATGTAAATTTTAAAATGAGTTGAAATTAAATTTTTTGAAAAATATGGTTGGAAAATAAATAACAAAATGAAAAAAATAATAAAAGTAATTTTTGAAAACAATATTTTATAATTTTGAAATGACCAAGAAATTTATAATGAGATTTATTTCATTTTGACCGCAAGAATCAATAAGTGATTTGTGTTCATTGTGCCTAAAATCTGCATTAATTTCAAATTCAATTATTTACCTGTCAAAACTTGTGGCAACTTGACCTCCTGCTGCAAAGCTCTAGCAATGGTCAGGGCGGCCGCAGACAGGGTTTTGTCCTCCGCTGGTTGCTGGGCAGTGTTGGCCGCGGCCAACGCAATCAGGGCCGTCAAAACCACCACCGAAGTTCTCATCCTGGAACAACACAGATCAAAAGTCCTGATTATGAAGATAGAAAAATAAAAATCTGAAAATGGTTTTAAATAGGAAAATATTATTTTATTCAATTACAAAAATGTTAATTTAAATTTTAACCTGTTGCTTTTTGATTAACTAATTTATTAACATTTTTAAAAATAGTTAAAAAAAGGTAAAAATTTACACAATATCACCTCTCATGCTGCAAATGAGGCAACGGTTAAATTCAGAGTTTTAGCCTTGGCTACGCTCTTTAAATTCCACTGGAGGAGAAAATAATTCAAATTTTTATTACTATAGAAACTGCCTAGGAAGAAAGAGCACTGGAGCGATGAGGTGGATAATGAAAAATACACATCCCATTGGCCTATACCCCTAGTTGCTCACTTCCTCCTCCTAACACACATAACATATAAAATTTCTTTCCGCTCTCTCGGCGCAATTGACCTCCGCGTTTGAAGATTTTTAAATTCAAGTCTCACACGGCAGCAGTTGGAAAGAGCAAAGGGCGCCCACACCTTGTTCGAACTTATTATAATAAGAGAGTCGATTTCATTTCTTCCTTTTTTTATGTTGAGCGCTTCAAGCTTCAAGCTGGACGCGCGAGAAAGAAAGTTTTCTCCAAACGTAAACAATCCTTTTTTGCTGTCGTAAAAAATAAAATTTCATTCTCAGACCAATTTGTTCGCTCAGACAAGCAAATAGGGCGGCAACGAGTGAAATAATTCAGTTGACACGCGCGTTTTAATTACTAGTGCGTGTCGCAATGTGCTTCGACGGGCAAGGAGAGTGCAAGTGTCTCTCTTTTTTTATATTCGGTTTGTCAATTCTGCTTTGTACGTACATATCGAAAGTGATCGACACGCGACGAATGACTCGGGTAAAAATAAGGAGCGAGAAGAAAAGTGCGAAGAGGCGAAATCGTTCGCGCGCGCGTTCAACTCTTTGCCGGTTTCTAGACCGAAAAGGAAGCCGCAGCGACACAGATATTTTAGTTCTGTGTTTAGTGCGGACAGAAGTGGCTATTAACCCGATTGGGCACAAAAGTGACGAGTGACTTCTTTGTTTCAGCGCGTTGGAGACAAAAAAGGGACAGCACAATTGCGGTCGGCCGACTAATTGCATCATTATGAATCAAAGCAAACTCGATCAACTGCCGTCCATCGGAACGCAGAATTTGACACAAATAATTCGTGAGAAAAAATTTAATAAAAATGGGAATGACGGGGCTATAAATTGTGTGTGCAAAAATAAAATTAAATTAAATGTAGAAACCAAGGAAATAATTTGTAATAAAAGAAAATGTGCTGAGATTGCTTTTTTATGTTAATTTTGATTTAACATAGCAGTGTTGATTTATCAATGAAATGGGTAATGAACAAACTCAAGCACCTTTAATTAGTTAAATTACACCATCATTACAATAACATATTAAAAATCCATTTAATGCACATTTACCGTTTTTAATTAAATTTTAAATCTTAATTACTCATTAAGAAAAGAATTTTTATTATTTAGCTCTGAAAAAGCGGCTGAATTTTATGCATAGCACATTGCATAAGTCCTGTGTCTTTGTCCGCTTTTTATAATTGATATTCTCATTTGAAAGTCCTAATGCAGATTGGTTGGAATTATATAAATCATCAGTGTATATTCAATATTATTATTTGAAATATAATAAACAAAAACTCAAATACAACTTTTTCAAATCAGAGCTTTTCTGCAGAGACAAAATCAAAAGATCAGCGATAAAATTATAATTTCCTGATATTCTTTTTCTCCAGAAATATAAAAGATTAATTTCAAATGATATATCAAACTTGTTAAGAGTGACACGCTTGTCTCTTTGTTTATATTTTAATTCGATTGTGAAACATGTTTTTTTTTTTCATTTCGATGGAAGAGATTTGAGCGCGGAATTAACCAAGATCAATTTCAGAAAGAGGCTGTAAAGCCGCACGTTTTTTCCTAATCTTCTTTGCTCCCCTTTTGCGCCACAATGAGGAGAAAATTTGATTTCGAGCGGCGAGCAGCAGCTGCTTCGAGTTCCTATAGATGTTTGGCTGAAGGCCAGAGAAAGTTTTATATACTCTCATTATCGTTACACGCAGTGGGTCGGCAGACGAGAAGGAAAAGAGAGGTGCGATGAGACAACGTGAAAAAAGGTACCGCCGCCGTATGCTACACAATAATGTGTACACTTTAATCGGCACTTCCAGGTGCGAGCCTCTTTTCACTCGATAATTTTCCTTTCCCACGTGAGAATTTCTTTCGCTTCGTGGTTCTCTCTCTCTCGTTTCTCTCAATGACTATTATAATTTCGAAGAGGCAATTAATGTAACACTTTTTAACCGAGAGGTATGCAAACAAAACTGCACACATCCCAAACAGCGAAAACGTTTAGACACAAATATAAATTAAAAAGAGCAAATGACATGGGTTTATGAATAGTTTTAATATGATGATGATTCTTTAAATGCTGTTGTGCTATATATAATATTTTTCTAATATATGCTAGTATATTGTAACTAATAGTTTTAGAAATAAAAAATAAAAAATCAGAGTGACAAATTTTAATAAATAAAAATAATTATACTAAATATGTAAATAATATTATATTTATAAAAAATTACTTTATTGTTCAAGAACTTTAAAAGTATTGAAAAAATGTTTTTAAATTATTATTATATTAATAAATAATAAAATTTATTTTGTTTACGCTAACTTACTTTATACAACTTTTTGTAAAAGCTTTTAATTGAACAATTTTATTTAATAAAAAATAAAAATATATATAACAGTAAGAAATTGAAAATCAAATTTTAAGATTTTTTTTTTAATTTTTCTAAAATTAATCAATTAATCTTATCGAACGAAGTAGAGCGATTATGCAAAATTAAATATTAAATTAATTAATTACAATAGTTTATAATTATATTTACCTGACTTCAGTATAGTCCGTCATGTTTGCGGCGCGGACTGCTCGCAGTCGTCCAGGTGAGCAATCGTCGATCGGCCGCGGCGTCTGGCAGACTGACTGAATAACCGAAAGAAACACACAAGGAGCATCTCTCTCTCAGCTGTGAGCCGGCTGGCTCTCTCTTTCCAGCCCACTTTTCCTGACCCACTTCCTCCGTCTCTCTCTTCGGTGCGCCGCCGGATGGATGGCCTGCCGCTGCCGAACGCGAGATAGACCCACTCCTAAACTACCCCGTGGCTAAATCTCACTCCCCACCTGCATGAGGACGGCTTAAAAAATATAAAATATAATTTTATTCATACAAGCATTTTGAATGGCGCATTCCTTGATCGCACGCCTCGCATGCCAATTAAATCGACTGACTTGTTTATTTTAATTAAATTAATGAGAAATTAATTACTCTCTTCGTTAAAATTCTTACCTTTCTTTTCTGCGTCATTGCATTTGAAAATTATTGAATAAATATATTGATCTTTGAGAAGAGAGAAATCGTTTGTATCCCAAATGATTATCTAGTTATCATTTCTAAATTTAAAATAATTAGTCTACACTTTTAAGAAACTACTAATCCTACATCGATTAGTCGATTACTAATAAAAATTGAAATTATTTGCAATTTAATATAATTTTTTCCCCAAAATACAAAATCAAAAAAAGACATTCCGCAACCATAACTTACATCAAATGTTTCACTTTAAATATGTTTAAATTTTCTCATTCAGCTTCGCCAAGCATTGTGTGGATCACCAAAAATAAGAGGAATTGCTCCAGAAAAGTTGATACTATTATTATAAATCATTATAAATTAACAGTTCATTCTTCCCGGTTAAATATTTTCACATCAGTGATATACTTTTTTTTTTAGTTTATCAAACACAACAAAACAAAGGCTACAGACCGGACATAGCTTTGTCTTGAGCAATTTATTTGCGAAATAGGTGACAAACAGGCGATTTTAAGAGAAAAAACAAAACGGGTGAAAAAAAGAAAAAAATTCTCAATAAATTTATATTTTTACATGATTATAAGCAGAAAAGTACAAAAAAAGTTATATTATTGTTGTTGGTGAAAGCAAATATTAAAATTGTAGGGAATTCGGATGAATTTTAATTTAATAGGATTTTTTTAAGTGATCTAATCTGCGGTTTTAAATTAAAAAAATCACTCAAGAGTGCAATTAATTAGAATTTTTTTTAAAAAATGTTCCAAGCAAATCGGTTGGAGGTTGAAAATGTGAGCATTTATTTTTCTCATCCCTATTTTCTCCCGAAAAATGTTGACCTCAAGTTTGAATAAAATGAGGATAGCCTTGACGGGCTGCTTGTTGTGGTGGACGTGGTGCTTGTGGTGCTTGCGGTTGTTGTGGTTGTGCTGGTTGTGGTTGTCGGCTTGTTATGGTAGAAGTGGTGTCCGCCCTGTCCTGACCCCGAATAAGACGAGGGGTAACCGTAGCCAGAGGGAACGTAGGAGTTTGTGCCGTAGGTGGGACTTGGCTTTTGGTATTTGGCTGCTTTAAACTTCCTGCGGCTGGCTGAAGACGCAAATGATTTCTTATGCTTGTGGCCATTGCCGTGTTGATGGTGGTTGCGTGGTTCGGCCAGCACCATCAAACAAACCACAGTAGTGAAAATTAAAGCCTGAAATAAAAAATAAAACTGAAAAAAAAGGTAGAGTGATTTTTTTAAACAAATTTTTATCACTTTTACCTGCATTGCCAAGTTGTAGCTTTTGAAAAGGTTGATGATCGAGTGAACTGCCGAAAAAATTTCCTAGCTTTTATATAAAAAATTGCACCAATTATTTAGCCAACAGGAGGATGAATTTATTTAAGAATATGATCGAAACAATGCAGATTGCACTGAAATTATGCACAATTTTATTGTTTGTTTTCTACAATCTTGCATTTATATAAATTGTGCGCTCAAATGTTTTCGATTATAGAATTCTTTTCACTGTGTGATGAAAAAACATTTATTAATTAATTTAATTTCAAGCTGCGGTAAAGATAATAATCTTAATAACATTAGAACATTACTTTAATTAATATTTTGTTATAAATAAGAAAAATCTTAATTTCTGCCTTATGAAATTTTTTCACAAGAAAAATATGTTTTTAGTACGTTTTTTCCGCATCGTCACGTGCCATTAAATGCAATTTTTTTCGCATGTTCCGCCCAGAATCCCGCCGTCGAGGGGGGGCGTGTCTGCTCGCAGGTTTGCATAGTAAATTAGGGAGGCGCGGTTTATTTACTTTTAGGGTCCACATCAATACTGCAGAAAACAAGGAGCATAGAAGGTGCTGAATAATTAATAATTCCATGCAGCAGGTGAGAAATTTTGGACTTCTTGACAAATTAGAAGTTTTTTTGTTTCATTTAACTGTAAATCTTGACATCAATGTATCGCTCCAAAAATAATTAAACGAAAATAATATGGAAAAATTCAGATCTCTGATTTTTTTTATCCCATATTTCATGGTTTTTTTGTGTAAACTTATTTATACATACTTTTAAAATTAGAATATTAAACTACATTGACTGCTCTTCTTTTAACATAATCTTGTAGAGAATTAAAATTAACTGCTAAATAAAAAATTATTGTCTTAAAATTTACTCTTTGTTACTTTGCGCTTGGAATTATTTGAAATTTCACTTTCAGATTCCAATTTCCTGAAATGGATTAAAACCGAAAGATGTACACAATTTCGGCGCCCCACATTCGGCGGGCCAAGTTGCTGCTGCGGCTGTTCGTGGTGAGTGCCATTGGACTGGTGCTGGTGTGCGCCTTCATGATGAAGAACTCGTCCGTGTCGGACATGACCGAGGTGGCCAAGTGTCCGGCTTGCTACGGAACCGACTTCTGTGCCACCATCGAGTCCGGAGGCGTCCACCTCTACCCTTTCCTTTCTTGGTTCAACGCCAAGAACGTCTTCTTCGGACGCACCACCTCCGGACAGAAGGTATAACTTTTGCCAGGTTTCAACTATAAACAGCTCTTTTGAAACTTTTCATAAGTAAACATTTAATTTAGATTCTTTTCCAAGGAGAAAAGTAATAAAAACAGAAAAATTTTCATTATAATTAAAATAAAATAATTCACCCAAAGATCAATTTAAAATAATTTAATTCCCTATTTTAACCTTCTTTGAACCTCCAGGTGACCCTGAAGAAGCTCGGACACAACCACGAGTTGGACGAGCTGGACACTTTTGTTTGTCGGCTGATGGGCCAGCCGACCGAGTGCAGACTGAGCGAGGTGGTTTGGCGCCTCGACGATGTGCAGACGGCAATCTTCAACACCGTCCGTTCCAACCTGTCCCTCAGGAGTGGAATCTCCTTTTGTCCAGTCGTCGACCCCAAGCAGATCGATGACCTCGTCGACCGCGTCGCCAGACATTCCAAACAGACTGCCTACAAAACTCTGCTCATCAATGTCCTTACCATGTTTGTCCTCAACCCTGAGCCAGTCATCCTCCAGGTCTGTATCAATTACTTTTTAATTTTTGTTAAATTTCAAAAATTTAATTTTGCCATTTCCATTGTTTTTTTTATAATATTCAAATGATCTGTATCATGTTTTTTTTTTATATATATAAATAAATTTTTAACGAAATAAAAATTTTTACTCTCCATATAGCAAAATAAATAAACATTTTAATAATTTTTAAAAAAATAACGCTATTTTATGTAAAAGCCAATATAAACTGAAAACCAGTCAAAAATAATTGGGCCAATTTTCCTGTCTATCTAGGCTTTTCCTGCTGAGGATGGTTGGCCGTTTCCCAAGTACCTGGGCTCCTGTGGCAGGGTGACGGCTCAGGAGTACGTCGGATCCAACCTGGGCTACTACCTGAATTCGGAGTGGCGCACTCGGGCCCGCCTGGCCCTGCAACTGCTCAAGATAGCCCAGAGACTCACCTTCCACGATCAGCACTTTTCCCTGTACCTGACTGATGTGACTGCTGAAAATTTGGCCGTCGACGCTCATGGAACGCTCAAGGTTGTCGACCTTGGCAATGTCATCATTGTCGACAAAAACCCTCCCCTCAGTGGTGAGTGTTAATTTCAAAATTTACTTATATTATACATTAATTATATATATATATAAAAAAAAGAAAGATTTTTTTTGTAATACGGTAGCTTTTACACTGTCAAGAGTTGCAAATAGTGTCTTAAAAAGATTGCAAGATTTTTAAAACAAAATATTTTAATGACAAATTTAACTGAAGAAAACTTATAAAAAAATTCTTTATTCATTTATTTAAAAACCAAATTTTTTTTTGTAATTTTAATACATTACATTGTTTTTATCGGTTTTTATTATATTTTTTATCATAAACAAATAAATTTAGTCACAAAAATCTTTGACAAATTTGACCATACCTTTTATTCATAAATTTATGTATTAGTATTTATATAATAAGGTAAAAAATAAAATTGTTAAATTTGAATAGAAGAAATGGTAAAAAGTAGAATAATTAATTTGGAATAAATAAATTCAACAGTCGTGTATTTCTTGTACTTGTTAATATGTTTATAACTAATCTAGAATTCTAATAATTGATTTTTTAACTTGAAAGACATAAGAAATGTTTCAGAAATACGACGAAAAAAATCACGCTTATTGTAAATAAATTTTCCTTTAAAATTTGAAAATTTTGAAAATTAGTGAGCAAGGAATTCAAAAGTTATAATCTTCACTGGTGTAATAAATTGTTACAAATAAATATATAATTTTTGTATTTAATTATGTTTTAGCTCGTCCTGAAGGTTGGAAGGAGAAGCACTCGAGCGACATAATGGAGGAGTGCGAGAACTGCTTTTCGTACTCGCAGGAGGACATTTGTGGGCACCGCACCAGCGACCACAACTACTACGCAGCGTGCCAGTTTCTGTCCTCGAGCGGATGGCTGCGTGACCCTCCCGAGGACGTCCGTCGCGCCTACCCGCAGCTGCCGGAGCTGCTCAGGGAATGCGCCGAGCCGCAGCGCGAGCAGGGCCGATACCGCGCCGTCCGTCAACTCATCCCTGTCCTTGCAAACGTGACTCTCGCCGCCGCCATCTGATCAGGTATCCGCACACATAATCAAATTTTTCACCGGCATGAGCTAGGCCACCGAAGCCGTAGGAAAACAGTAACTGGCCGCTCGCGCAACACCCTTGAACCGTTTTCCTTCAGGCGGAGCAAATTTTGTTCTCTCACGAGGAATTACAAGTTGCAATAAGAGAGAAAGAAAGAAAGACCCGCACTGACTTCAGTGATTATTTTAAGGGTTGCAATTATTATTAAAATTTATAGAAATTGATTAGGTAGAGAGATCTGGAGACACTTTTCTTAAATAATTTCTATAAAAACACTTAAAAAAAATTTATAAAAATCATTTTTTTTAACAAAGTTTTCAATTAAAATGTTAGAAACATAAAATGTTTATTTTATCATTTGATATATATGCTCCTTTCTTGAAATTTATTCTTCTTCTCCTTATAAATTAATTATTAGATGAAAATCAGCCTTCAGCATGGCTATAAATAATGATTTCATCAAAAAGTGTGAGCTCGTTTTTCACCTCTTGAACTCTTCCTGCACAATTTTGTCTGAAATTAATGTTTATTTTACTTAACTTTTGCCAGGTTTGATTTGATTTCGATTTTTTTGCTAATGACATTAAGTTAAATATTGGCTGAATATAATTATATTCTTATGTTAATTTTAAATTTTTTTTATGGGTAGACAATTTTTAAACACTTAAAATGTTTTAAGTAAATATTCCTGTTCTCCAATTAATTTTTCAAGAAAGCAGCTCTATCAAATATTTGATTTCTTTTTTAATTGCGTCTATTTCATCACGTTTTGATAAAAAAAAAAACTTAGCTTTTCTTCTTAAAGTTTTTCCTTGAATGTTCAAATGATTTTCTAGACAATTGGCGAAAGTAACGCAATTTTTGCGACAAATTAACCTCTCCATTGATGGCGCTAGACTTTTCGCGCCTGTCTGAAGCCCAAAAAAGTGTCGCAACCTCGCTACTGGAACAAACTGGCGCCGCACGTGTTTTTTACGTAATCCCTTTGGCGTGCGTTGTTTATGGTAACGCAGTAAGCAGCCTATACAAAGAGCACTGCCCACGCACAAAATTTCTCGTCCATGCCCTCCGGATCACGCTATTATTGCGTCGCATTTTCCAAAGAACAAATAGAGCCAAAGATACTTTTACATAAATGCGTAACAAGATCAACTAAAAAGAAGTACAACAAGGAACTAGGAAGAATCAAATGATTGCTCAAAGCATTTAGTTGCTATTATTTTATATTTGTTCTATTGAGGGAAGTTTTTTAATTGGTTTTTTTAATGGCGCAATGGGAAAAAATGACACCAAACATTTTCTTGTTGGAATAAATATAAACAAAATTCTCAACGAGCTTTTTAAGCCCGGTATTAATTTCGTATATGCGATCCACCTGAAGTATATTAATTATCAATTTAATTTTTTTAATTGGAACTTTTCATATTTCTAAAGAGAAATCTACTTTTGTTCACGTGGAGAATAATCACAAGGACTAGTGATCAAACCAGGAAATAAGGTTCATAATTCATAACTTAATAATTGAAACAGCAATATGCGGCTGATATTATTTCCCTTCCCAAGTGGATAGAAGATAGACAGACAATTGCAAACTAAATAAAAATTTTATTCAATTTCATATCATAAATTTTTCCTTGTATATTTATCTATGTTAGGCTTAGCGCGTTGCATTAAAAAATATGTCAAGGAGATTCTAAGTAGAGAAAACATTTTATAACAAAAGGTGAAACAATGTCCTGTTGAGTGGAAATGAAAGTCCCTAAGGACCCAAGCTGGAGGCCAACTTACTGAAATGCGATAATTCAGCCTTCATCCAGAGAGAGTGACGTGAATACTCATTAATAACCAGACAAGGAGATGATTAAATCAACTGAAGGAGACGAAAACAATAATATTGTTTGTTTTTACCAAATTATAGCAAAATTTTGCGTGGGAACAAGACGACTCCCTATTTAAACTTTTAGTTCTAAAAAATTTAAAACCCTTTTGACAAATCGATCAAATTAATTTTTTCATCAAAGGTTCAAAAGCCACTGAGGGTCGGCAGTGAAAGCTTTACACGTGTGGAAAACTCAAGCAGTGCGACTCCTGGCTCAATATATAAATATTGCATAGAATAATCATTTAAGAGTGGAATTAAAATTTAATATCATGACATGTTGACTTTCAGGGTTGAAAAATACTATTTGGCATATTATATTAAGCAATGATTGAAATTTATATAAAAATTTTTGCACTGTTTAGTAAAATACAAACTGAATTAAAATCGTAATATAAATTATCATGTTTATGAAATCAATTGATCAAAATTAATACTGCTTTCAAATATTTTCCCGAATGCACGAGCACTTTCAATTATGTGTTTGCTCATGATCATGCAAAAATTTCATCCCCAGCGCGGTGGCATCGGCATAGCTATAATCCAATCACCCCCACCTAGGGGTGCTGCTAAATGGATGAGGGAACCCCGGCAAGTGCGGGGTCGGCAGCGTACTTAAGCAAATTGCGACCTGTTGGGCACCGCAGTTGGCTCGCGTCAAACAATGGTGTTCAACTTCAAAGTTTTCAAGAAGTGCTCGCCCAATGGCAAAATCACCGTCTACCTCGGCAAGAGGGATTTCGTCGACCACGTTAATGGTGTCGAACCAATAGGTACTTTCATTAATTGTCGCACCCCAAATTACACGGTCGATATATAAAAAAAAATTCCCAATGTGAATTTTCTTTCCCTCTTAAAACTTTGAAATTTTTGTTTCAGACGGCGTTGTGCTTCTCGATCCCGAATACACTAATGGCAGGAAGATCTTCGGCCAGGTGGTCTGCACCTTCCGATATGGTCGCGAGGAGGATGAGGTCATGGGCCTCAACTTCCAGAAGGACCTCTTCTTCGCCAACGAGCAGATCTACCCACCCACCAAGACCGACGAAAACCTCAGCAAGTTGCAGGTAAATTTCCTTTTTCACTCAGAAAATAAGAAAAATTATTTATTCTTCATTTTTTCTGATAAGGAACGACTCGTAAAGAAGTTGGGTGCCAACGCGTTCCCCTTCACCTTCCAACTGCCGACCTCCGCCCCGGGCTCTGTCACCCTGCAGCCCGGACCTGACGATGGTGGCCAGCCTTGTGGTGTCAGCTACTATGTCAAGATCTTCGCAGGCGAGAACAACACTGACACCAGCCACAAGAGGTCAGATTCAATGATAAAATTTTTATTATTTTCTTAAATTATGTATAAAATTAGAAAGCTTTCAGTTGAATTAATAATAATTTGTAATAAAATTACTCAAATTTTTGCTTCTTAAATAATTTAATCAAAATACTTACATTATTTTCATAATTATCAACAGGAGCACTGTTGCCCTTGGCATCCGTAAGATCCAGTTCGCCCCATCCAAGATGGGACGTCAGCCATGCACTGTCGTCCGCAAGGACTTCATGCTCAGCCCTGGAGAGCTCGAGCTCGAAGTCACCCTGGACAAGCAGGTTTGATTGAAAATTTTTTAATTTTTTCTAAAAATTTAATTTGAATATTTATATTAGTTGTACCATCACGACGAGAAGATTGCTGTGAACTTGTGTGTGCGCAACCACAGCAACAAGGTGGTCAAGAAGATCAAGGCCATGGTGCAGCAGGGCGTCGACATCTCCGTCTTCCAAAACGGACAGTTCCGCGCCACCGTTGCAGAGATTGAAACTGCGTAAGTTTTTTTTTACTATTTAATTATTTAGTGCCATTATATTATACACATTTTTTTAAATATTTGATTAGAAAATAGGCCTACTTTTGTATTCAATTTTTAATCAATTCTACAAAAATGTTAAATTTCTGTGTTCTTATTTTAGTGAGGGCTGCCCCATCCAGCCTGGCTCCTCTCTGCAGAAGGTGATCTACCTGAAACCAACCCTCTCCTCGAACAAGGACCGTAGAGGAATTGCCCTGGACGGCCAACTGAAGCACGAGTCAACCAACCTGGCCTCCACCTCCCTGTAATTATCAATTTTTCCACACTTGTACTATTTTTATTAATTTTTTTTATCTTTACTCAGGTTGCCTTCCCATGACTCTGACGCTTTCGGCATCATTGTCTCTTACACCATCAAGGTGAAACTTTACTTGGGAGCCCTGAGTGGTGAACTGGCTGCTGAGCTGCCCTTCGTGCTCATGCACCCTAAGGTAATTTGCCATTTTTGTCTTGTAAATTGAGATTTAATCTATTTTCTTCCAGCCTGACGGTAAGACCGTCTGCCGCGCTGACAGCACTGCCGACGTAGAAACTTTCCGCCAGGAGTCAATCGCCATCCCCGAGTAAAGATGAACACCTCGACTTGACCGCCTCTCCAACCTGTCTATAAAAATTTGGCCCCGAAACAGAGTTAAAATTTTTATATTAAGGAGTGACTTTAAGTGAAGTTAGAGTGTAATTTGTGATTATAATTATTTATGTAACTGATATAACAATTGGCCCTGATGGATGTAAGTATCTTATTGAGGTTGAAATGTAAAATAATAAAAAAGAAACAAACTCACTCTTAATTTGATTTGCCTAGTTTGCGTGCAAAGGCACGCACACCTGCTGCACCTCACAGGGCTTCCCAATACACGTGATAGGGAAGCCTTTTGATAGAAAACTGGGTGACTCATGATCTAATTATCAAGGAAATTAACTGGGCGCATAATTTTTGTTTTCATAAAAATAATTCTTGTTAAATCTTTTCAACGAGGGTCTTGGAGAACAAAATTTTTGGCAATTTAAAACTCTGATATCAATATTTATATTAAAACTTCAAATTTGGCCACATTTTTCTGCATTGAATTGAAGTTTAATATCAGAAATATTAGTGAATAGTCATAAAAGAAGGTTTTTGAGTAAAAATGAGACGCTCAGATCCTTATAGAAGAGTATTTTATACATGAAAGCTATAATAAATAATTATAATCGTACATTATCCGAGTGAGAAAATGAGGATGCGTGTAAGGGTTCGACATGTACATACAAGAACACTTTTACTCGTCACAAGTAATTCGCCACTTGATCTAATATGAAACATTTTTCTTTTGTTACATGATGATGAAGGAAAAGTTAATTCAGCTTTCGAAATCACAAACACAAAAACTGCATTTAACAAGAGAGAGAAAAACATGACATTGTGATGCACTTTGGAAGTAATAAAACATTTATCGTATTACCAAATACACTTTAATCAATCGGAACAAAGGCCTTCGTAAATAAAATCCTAGCAAAGAAATCAGAGCTGCTGCCGTCACAGCCAAGTCCGCCGTGTTGATGCAACACTCGGACCCGCAAATTTCAGAGCGGCGACAGCCCAATTGTGAAAAACAGCAAGTGTCATCCAACTAACGTCCCAGGGAAGGAACGTTCACGGCAGATAAAATGAACTGAAACTAAAAATTAAAAGCTAATGGAGACTCTTCGGATGAAATACACGTAGATTTCAAAGTTGTTCGGAAGATCGATTTCGTTTCGTTTGAACTGAAGAGCATTTTCTTTTCTTTCATTGTTTGCCTACCTAACAGTGTAACAATGTGGAGAGTACGATATGGCAAGCAGCTACAGGAGAGAGAACAATTAAATAGAAACCAAATCGAAAAGCGCACCAAAAGTCAAATTGCCGTATTTCTCGTCTAAAAAATATTTACAAGAAGGTAGATTCGTATTTTCAATGCAAGGTTAATAAATTTTCGTTTTATAAAAACTGGGCTTGGAAAACACGTTCAGTCCTTAAGCCATTCAGGATTTCATTTTTTAAATTCTCTTTGAGCAGTTTTTGATCGCCTCCAGCCCTTCCTTTGCCGACCGAAACTCAATTACGTGTATAAAAAAACGCATACAAATTAATTAAAATACATGATGAGTGTATTACATACTCTTATTATGGAATGATGCTCTGAGTGCCAAATATTTTTTTGCCGCCACTGGCATCGCAAGCAACATTATTTTTGTTTCCTCTGACGCAGATGAACGATCACTTTCGCAGTCAAACAAACCTAAAGGACGGCAGCTCGACCAAGCGGAACTGCCAAAGTCGGACTAGAACGGGACAATCGAACGAATGCTGACTGCTGCGTCTTCAAAATGACTACACGATCTTTCTTTCAAGTCCCTCGCACCCAAAGGAAGTGTGGACCAACGCAAAAAATTTCATCAGAGAGAAGTTCATAAAAATTACACGAGTATAAAATATTGTTAATCGTTTAAATATAGGAAACTTACAATTTAATCTTGTGTATCAAAAAGTGATTTGTGTGTATAAGTGATATCATTTGTACATGAATTGCTTTTTATAAAATTTAACCAATTGATAAATATCGCAGCCACTTCCTTGTTATTGTGAAAGAGAGTAAAAATTAAATAAAAGAGCGCCGGTAAAAATAGTTAAAAAAATTTGGCACCACACTTCCGAGGGACCAAGAGCGGAAAAGTGTTACTTTTTGTTGTGTGTTTGAGGTAGCAAATCATAATTTTTTTCGTCTTGAGTGATGCTGCTGCTTGGTGTCACTCCCCAAAACACACGCGTAGATCATTCCTCTGTTTGCTACCGACAGGAGAGTAGAAAAAAACCAACAACGACCGAGTCAATTGGAAATTTTAGCACTCGACGGGGGATTAGCTGGGCGGAGGGCCACCGTTGTTGGGCGCTCTTGGTAGCGGCCGCACCAAGTACAGCTTCTCTCCCTGTTTGTTGGTATAGATGGGCGCTCGTTGGTAGTGGTCGACCAGCTGGTCAAGAGTGTGGAACTTGCGCTGCCCTATGCAGTAAAGTGCGCCTTCGACGTGAACTCGGAAATGCTTGTTGCGGCCAGGTGCCTTCAACGACACTGAATAGTCACCCATCTGGAATGAAATTATATAAATAAATGCACACCAATGCTTTAGATCTTTCAATTAATTAAAAAATCTAATTGAAATCCTTACATTCGTTTCCGAATCCCTAATGAGAAAGTCTCCGTCCTGTCCAGCTTCATTTAGAACAGTGTCACAGTGTGCCCTAGAGATAGGCCCGAAGTACCAGGGTTTCCCAACCAAATGTGGCCGGTCAACGTGCGCTAAAGAGGCCTGACTGACGGCACGCAGACTGCCATTGGTAGGTCGCTCGAGGGAGCGGCCGCCACGATACGGTTCGGCCAGGTACTCGGACAGCTCCTGCAGGTAGTTGCGTGGAACCAGCCCCACCTGCTAAATAAACCTTTTCTTAGAATATTTCCTGGTTGAAATTTCAAATTGCATGAATTTGTCCAAGATGCAAATCTTTATGGATTCAAATTGTTCTGTTTGTCATTCTGACCTGTCCTGCAGCACTGCGGGCTCGGTACCACTCGGGGTCAGATCTCGGCCTGTCTAGGATCTCAAGGCGGTCGCCTTTCTCGAAGCTCAGCTCTTGGTCGTTTTGCGAGCTGAACGAGTAAAGAGCCACCATGATGTCCAGCACGTTCTCTGCCATGGCATAAGTGTGCAGCGTGTCCGTGTCTCCGGTCGGCCTCTCCAGCGAGTGTGACGACGTGCACTCATCAGGCTGCGTGTAGTTGCTAGGGAACCAGCCCTGTAAAAGAAATTTAAAATTTTTAATGCTTTACTTAACAAGATAAAATTAAATTCATAAGTTTTTTCATTTAAATATCGAAACATAGCTTTTTACATTTCTTTTGTTTAATTGTGCTAAAGACCTTGGCCCTTAGCCTTGATGCTTGATTATTTAGTGACTATTGAAAACAAAATTTTGCTTACAATGAGTAATACAAAGTGAATCACCTCTGTTGTTTTAAATGACTTAATTACCCAGTGCTTCTGTTTTATTATATTAAAGAAAGCAAGGTCGCAGACAAAAAAATAAACATAAGAATGATTGCTTCAAAAAAATGAAAACAATCAAAGGTGAAACAATTTAAACATTAGAAATTAATATTAAGATTCGATGGATTTCAATAAAGGTAAACTAAAATTTGTAAAAAATTGATCAACTAGTGAAATTTTAGTGAGAATTAGGAGGAAGGACTTGCCTGTTGGCCGTTGGCGTTTTGACCGCGCCACCAGCCATCGTTGCTTTTCTCAAGGACGAGCACCCTGCTTCCCTTAGTGAGGGGCAATTCATCAGCCTGCTGCGCCTGGTAGTTGTAGCGCACCAGCGCCCAGCCGAGGGCCTCGCCAGGGTCGACGGGCTGCGTCACTTGCTGGGTCGAACGTCTCCCAACCACCGGCGAGTTGGGCAGCGTCCGTGCTGCAGTGTTGCCCGACTTTTTCACCTTCTTCTTGATACTGCATTCAAAAAAATATAAATAAATATTGACGAGAAAAAATAAGGACGGGATTGAACCTGTCAAAAAGGGAGGGCTTGTCACGCTTGACATAGTTCGAGGGCACATAGCCCGATAGGCCTCTGGTGTTCTGGACGCGCCACCAGTGCTTTGAGTCGTCTAGCAGCAGGTACCGCTCGTTTTTGCGCAATGGCAGCTCCTGCGCGCCCTGGGCCGAATAGTCGTACTTCGCCACAACGTACATCGCCATCTCATCTTGTTGTGCTGCAAAAAATTTTATATAAATTAATTGTAATGCCAAAGATTTCTAAAAAAAGTAGTGGTTTCCTATTTCACGGATAATAATTTTATATAAATAGGCTTTCCATCATTTGCAGCAATATCAGCCAATAAAATTTGACAGGAAAACTACAATATGTAATTATAATTTCAGTTGCCAAACCAGATATATTAAAATTTACAGGAAAGAGTACAAAATATTAAATAACTACGGGTGTAAAAAAATCCAGAAAAATATTGCACTTATACTTAATTTTTGCATTTTTTTTCTACAAAAGTGAAATTTCGAGAGAAATCTTTACTGAATATAGAACAAAAAATGAAAATTCCTTTGTAAAAAAGGATAATATTAACTAAAAGACCTTTGATTTAAAGGCCAGAAACCAAATTAGGAAGTAAATGAAAATCATAATCATAAATACCTCGTATTATTTGCAAACATGCTAATGGGTGAATGAATCATGCCACTCTAATACAGCTGAAAACAAAGCAACGCAAAACAACATAATTAGAACTCAAATTACACAAAAACAATTTCTATGGAAACCAAAATTCCAAATTAATTCTAATAACATCTCGAAATGAAAATTTGCAAAATTAGAGAGTGTGGGTAAAAACAAATTAAATTTATAAATGCTAATTTTGGCATTGTGTCAGTCGGATCTCTGCATCTGGGCGTAATTCCCAGTGAGAGGAGCCTCTGCTCTCGCTCGAAGGCGCCGCGAGAGAAATTCTCGGCGCCGAAACGCGTCGGCCGATCGGGCGCCGACGAAACGAGTCGGCAAATAAAGTCGGTAGACAGACGAGTCGCAGAGTTTTGGAGGAGAAACTTAAAAACAAGGCAAATTGTGCAAATACACGGGACGAGCGAGTGTCGGCGGTGAAATCGCTGCTAGGAGTGTCACTTGTCAACGGGCTACGCGAAGGCGGAAAAGTGCCGAATGGTGTCGTCGGCACGCGCACTCACATGACTTTTGAATTGACATTTCGGCGGTGAAAAGTAGCACCTCGGCTGGATACAAAAAACGCTCGCAATCCGAGTTGGAAACTAAAAAATCCGCAGGCTGGAAGCAACAAAGGACGTAGCCATTTTGATCTCTCCTTTAAAGTTCCTTCCCCTCCCTCCTTCTTCGTCTAGACGGCCGGTGGAGGGGCATTTAAATCGCTTCGTGCCGCCACTTCGTCTGCCCTCGGCCGCTGCCGTTTCATTGAAAAAAAGGGCGCTGGCCGAAAAGAGAGATCGAATTTTAAAATCACAAATTTTACAAAATTTCCAAAATTTTAATTGAAACTACGAAATTACCTTTTCATTAATGATCAAAGTGAAAACTTTCATTTTTCAAAATTATCAAATAAATTATTTAAATTTTCCTAACAAAAATTCATGTTGCTTTTGCAACGCGAAAAATTTACTATAAATTTTGGTATTGATTTCTGTTTCTTTAAAAATAATATCAAAATTACGCACAAAAAATTAATCTTCTGATCAAATACAATCAAATAATTAAATGTTGTGCTATCACTCATTCCATCTTTAAAAAATTAAAATGTTTTTAGTTTCACCAAGAAAAAATTGAAAATTTTATATACAGTGAAAAGAATAAATTAAAGTAGTATTAAAATTAAATTCACATTATTATGTTGATTTGAATAACTTTATTCCATTAATAAGTGCAGTAGAGAACACATGCACGAACAAAATCTTTGAGAATTTTTTGGATAATACAAGAAGTGTAATAATTTAATTACAATTTTGAACATCATAATACTATAATAATTCAAACTGCATCCTTCAAAGGAATATTTTGTTGTGGGAAAATTTGTGAAATGCGTTTTTGGCACTAACATCATAGTAGTTTTGGATCTGTTTTTTAAATCTGACACACGAGATGATATTTTGAACATTTATTTAAAATTAATTTAGAATGATACGTGAGATTATTGCATTTAAAAAAATCAAAACAGTGCAATTAAAAACCGGTTTTTAATGACGAACTAGGTCGTGTTTCCTAAATTTTTAGGTTTCAAACTTTCAAAATATTTAATTCATTTTTTAATGGCTATAGAGAGCTTTGAATTGCGCATGAATACACAAGCACCATTTTTTTCAATTATTCGAGAGTACAAACACCTACTAGTTTTTTGATATATCGTGACTTTTTTTGGTGGAAACGATTTTCCAGGATTAAATTTTATGAGAAGGAATAATAATATAATTTTTTTTCATAACAAGATAGAATTGCATCCAGGGCACAATAGTACCTCTTTCTAGATAAAGACGAGTGTAATAAAGGTCAAGTTTTCAATTGGTAGGCCTTCTATGGAATGGACAATAGTTAAACATTGGTATTATAGTAGACTAGAGATCTTTAGTTTTTCTCGAAAATATGGTTCGAACATGAAGCAATTATCAAAGAGCTGTATTCCCAATGCATCCGTATTCTAAAGTTAATTATAGGATATAATTTATTATTCAATGAGTATATTGCTGCGTGTGGCAATACTTTGAGACTTCTCACTCTAAATGAGCTAGGAATATCTTTAGAAGTGTACACTTGGCCTAGAGCTCCCTCAACTTGCAAAAATCTCGCCCTACTTGCAGTCGTTAACATCACAAACATGTTGTGTAATTCTATCACGTGATTCCATGAGAGGTAAAGAACAAAAGTTTTGAATTAAAATTGTAAAAATAAAATAAAATTTGTAAAAAAATAAAAATCAGTCAAGTTATGAGATCAACAAATACAAATAAAAAAGAGATCAAAAAATATTTAAAGGTTCAATTTTTTGAAGAATTGCTCTGAACGGAATCGAGTTTTGTCCGACGAAGCCAGTCACGCAGCCCTTGGGCCCGCTCGGCCAGACTGATAGCAGACCCACTGACTGCGGCAAGGTTGTTGTTCGAAGCCACCTGCTGTTGCAGACGAATTTGCTGCAGTTGCTCTGCTAAGTTGGCAAGGGCAGGCCAAGGGGACTCTGATCCAGGGACTAGTAAAGGTGGGGGGCCTGAATGTGGCACAAATTTAGATAAAAATTTATACAATAAATTTTAAAAATATATTACCAGTTGGGATTTTTTCTACATTGTGTCTCTGCAAGAGATCCCACAAGCTTCTGATGTCCGAGTTGAGCGTTTCCAAACTCCTGATAATTTCGCTTGATTCAGAGTGTTTTGGACACTTTGGATTGTGCCCTGAAGTATTTTAAAGAGTAAAAATTGTTAGTCAAATTTAGAAAAGACTCACCAGTTTTGGTGTCATTGGCGTGGTCATTGCTGCTGAAGCCGGAACTGCCACTGTGCGATGACAAGTCACTGAGGGTGGCGTCAGTTGACTTGTTTCTATTAGCCGTGGAAGAGAGCTGCTGCAGGGAGTGCTCCAATTGCCTCAGTCTGATGATTTTCTCACCCAAAAGGCTGCGTGTTCTGTGCAGACTCACCTCCATCTCAGACAACTCTCTTTCCTCCTGATTACGCAAAAGTGGTTTATTAAAAATTATTCAATAATTTCTCAAAGGTTCTTTCATACTTGGATGACGGCATCCTTGGCAAGTTCCGAGTGCAGCCTTGAAGAAGACGGACTCGGGCTGAGGGTCATCTGAGACTGGCGTTTGTGAAGTTCTCTCTGTCGATTTGCAAAAGTGTGCCGCTGCTGTTTGAGAAAGGCTTTGGCCTTTTGAACCGAATCCCTCTCTAAATGTATTCGGTGCCGGAAAAACTCTAACTCGCAACTGCCCACTTGACCTGTAGCATAATTAAATTGTGTTAAAAAGATAAGGCAAAAAAGCAAAATTTTAAAATCTCATACCTGCTTCAGGGAAAGGGTAGCGCAGGTAAGTGTCCACATGGGTGGAGGCTGGGAATAAGTCTTCAAGGTCCTCGAGTTGCTGCAGCTGCGACCTGAGGTTTTCAACAGGGTTGACAAGTGTGTCCCTGCCTCTGTCCAGTCTCGGCGTGGAGCAGGATTTGAGTTTGCTCTGGTGGCGCTTAGCCTTTCTCAGCTGCATGACAGGCGGTGAGGTGCGATCACTTGAGTCGGTAGGTGGTGGTGACACCACAAGACTCTCCTTCAGACTGCTGGCCAAGGTACTGTCAATGGCACTGCTGTTATTGTTGATATTGTTGTTGGCCTCAGAGGCAGACTCGGCGCCAACCGAAGCAGCGGTCTCCACAATTTTTATTCTGGACTGTTTGCCGACGCGCTGGGAACTAGAGCGGTCCGTCTCGGAACCTGTGGTGGCGCCGCCAGCATTGCTTGACACAGCCAATCGCTTCTTATTGCGTTTCTCCAGAGTCTGCTTCACGTCTGTTTTGAGTCGGACATACTTATCCTTGAGGGTGCGATATTTGTCCTCCAGCAGCCGCTTCTCACAACGCATCTTTTCAAAAACTCGGTCGTCCGGTCGAAGAGCTCGAGCCTCCTCTAACTGCTTTCGGCAGTCCTTCAGCTTGATGGACAAAAGCTCCACCTATAAATTTTCATTTTATAAAATTTTATTTACATTTAAAATTTGCTTAAAAATATTTTAAAAAATTTGAAAGTTTTTATAATTAAATTTAATATGACTTGCCTGTCTCTGGAGGTGCTCGCATCTTTGGTTGCTCAAAGTTTCAGTCTCAGCAAAGCTCCTGGGTGGAGCGATGGCGCCCTGGTGCTCATATCTGGAGGCACGCGCGTCCTCCTCTTCCAGCAGCCTAGTCTTTCGGTCCGCAATCTCTTTGAGGCGCTTGAGACGCGCCTCATACTCTGCGTTCAACTTTTCACTCAGGGCTGCCAGTTTACTCCTATGCATGACGTGCATCTCCTCTTCCTCCTTCTGAAGAGCCATCCGCAGAGTTTCAATAGAAATCAACTGGTCTGTCTTGATTTTGTCCAGGATCTTGTTGTGATCTTCTCGAAGACCATTTCGAGCCTTATCCAGCTGCCGGTCCATATCTTCCTTGAGGGCAACCATTTTTTTATGCTTTTCAGATTGAGCCTCCCGTTGCAATCTGGCCAACTCATCCTTTAGTTGTCTTTCGAACTCCGCCTTTTTCTCTTTTAATCTCTGCTCATGCTGGGTTTGCAATTTTCCCGCTTGGTCCGCCTCTAGGCTTTCAAGTTGTTTCTGAAGGTCTGCCTGCTTTAGCTTTTTCTGTTCCACCAGATTGTTCTTTAAAGTGGAGTCAAACTGATCTCTCAGACTGTTTAATTTTTCTTCGTGCTCCTTTTCAAGTTCCGCTTTGTTTTTTAGAAATTTAGTCTCAAACTCTAAATCTAACTCGGATTTTAAATGTGCCAAATTAGCAGCTAGCGTCTCTCGATATTTCTTCATTTCCGACTTTTCCAAGTCAATGGCAACCTGCTTTTCTACTTTTATGGCCGAAAGCTGCTTCTCCATTGTTGAGGCAAGCTCGTCTCTCAGCTTTTCGAGTGTTCGCTCTGCCCCTTCTCTGATGTTCTTCTCACGGTTTTTCAACTCGGCTTCGATCTTGACTTCCATCTGTCTGACCATGGCCTCTTTTGCTTCAACTAGCTTATTGATGCTCTCTGCCTCTTGTTTCTCCAAAGACTCTTTCACCTTGAAAATCCTTTCATCCATCTCGATCTGCAGCTTTTGCTGTTGCGTCTCAAAGTTTGCATTCACTTCAACTCCATTATCATTTTCAGACAAAATTTCTTCGATGACCACATTACTGGATTGGTTCTTGTTCAAATCAGTTTCAACTTTTAAATTTTTATCAAAAATCCAAACATCCTCTTCGTCTTCTTCTTCATCATCTAGTTCAGCCATAAAGTCAAAGTCTGGCTTTTGAAACATTTCCTTAACCGGCTCAATCGTAACTAATTGTTTCTCCTCTAGTTCCGTCTCTTTGCTTTCACTGTCTTCTTCCTAAAATTGATTGTGTTATATTTTATTTCACACTATAATTTACAAAATAAAGTACGCTTACCTCAAAAACTCTAATTTGCACTCCTGCGCCTTCCACTAAATTAAACCGAACGCTTTTCTTTTCGTCTTCTCCATCAGAGATTTTATCTACAATAAACAAAATATATAATTAACTTATTAAAATTTAAATGAGCTTAAAAGTACCTGAGATTCCATCCTGTAAAATTCTTTGTGGTGACTTATCTCTCAGAATGCCTCTTGTCGGTTCCAATGTGGAGCCTTTGATGACCGTCACAGCTTTGTCCTCAACACCTTCTGACGAGGATGTGTCTGTTGACGGCTGAGGCGCCACCTTTTTTAGAAAGCTTGATCCTCCACCTAAATGGAATAATAAACCCAGTTATTTAAAATTATAAATAAATTAAGTTGCAAATAAAAAATAAATACCTGATACTTTCAGTTCCGTTCTACCTGGCGCGGTTTTCTGTGGTGGCTCATCTTTGACAGAGATGTCTCCGCCCTCTGAACTGAGAGGTGTTGGACTTGGTGGAGGACGAGGCGTCATTTTAAAGTTAGGTGACAGCAGATTATTTTGGTCCACCATGAAGATTGGTTCAAGCTTTGATGGCATATTTTTGAGTGGCCCCTTAAATCAGAAAATAATATTAGTATTTTGTTAATTTATAGGTTTCAGAAAAATAAATTATTAAGAAAATTATCTCTAACTTTTACCAATTGAGTGGTGGCTCTGCGGAGGAGGGCGCCAGATCCAACGTAGCCTCCCTTTGAGAGACTGGAGGCGTCGTCGAGACTTTTGAGGTCATCCTTGAGTGAGGAGATGTCATCACCACCAGAGCTGAGGGATTCCTGCCTCGTCTTCTTGACCAGGTCACGGTAAACACCGTCTAGTGGGTGCTCCCATTGCGAAGTGCCATTTTCGTAGTTAAAGTAGTACCAAGCCTTTTTTCGGTGGTCAAAACTAGGATGTAAAAAAGGACAATTAAAAATTAATTAACATTTTAAAAAAATGATCTTAATTTCCAACCATGGGGTCCAGCCGCTGGGAAGCGCCTTCATCAGACCATCTTTGGCCAGGGAAAGCAGGTGTGGTTCCTTGTCTGGCTGGATTCCAATTTTCAACGCATAATCTCGAATTTCTGTTAAATAAAAATTAATAAGTCAGTTTAATTTTACATCAATAAGCCAAAATCAATACAAACCGTCTTCTGATGGTAAACTGTTCTCGTCGAAGACCTCCTCGCAGAAAACAGTGGGTGCTGCTTTTTCGGCCATGGTCAGCACAGCTTACGTCCATCCCCTATTTCATATGAATCATGTCATGAGTAAATTTAATTCTTCAAAATATTTTTTTTTAAATGATTAATAAATTTAATTATTTAATTTGAGGCTTTTCAATTCCTGATTTAAAATAATAAGAAGCAGGAGAGGGAAAAAAATTAGCTTAAAAAAAAGGATACTTCTTAATAAATAAATGTTTTTGCGATGCGACCTCGGACTCTGAGCTCAAACTGGGTCCCTGCATCTTTAAAGGTCAATGTCAGCGTGCATGCAGTTGAGCCAAATTTTTGGGTGCATCTATGTATTTGCTATCGATTTTACGGAAAAAACTCGTATCAGTTTTAATTGAGTTCAATTATCAAACAAACTTAGCCTGGAAAGAATTGAAAACGCCTAGAAATAATCATTGGTGTGTGGATGTAAAAATTTAAATGACATGCACCCGAAAATGCAGAACCTGCGCGTCAAGCGTTTTTGCATAATTTTGTGGAAAGATCGAATGCAATTCTCTCACCTGCCCAGCTGCCAGAGGATGGCTTGAGGATTAAGAGGGCACTTTCGAGGGCCTCTTCCTCCGTGCTCTTCAAGTTCGCGAGAGGCAGAGAAGAAAATAACAAATTCTCCTGTCAAACAAAACGGCCTCTCAGCTGGTTGAATTTTTGCACATGCCGATGCATTGCGTGTTTTCAACTTTTCAGAGATGGCGCTAGTTTGGTACCTGAAGAGCAGGCTGCATAACTTCCAGGCACTCAGTTTTGGCGCTGATTCAAAAAATTGTCTGATTTTTAGACTTTAATTTATATTTATAATAATATTTTTCACACTCTCTAATGCCTCTATTTTTGCAAATGATCTAAAAAAAATTAAGCTTTCTAAATAATTATTAATAATAGAAACCGTTTCAGATTAATTAAAATTATTGAAAAATTTATCTTTTCCATGAATTTTAATTTTTAAAAATTTTAATATTTTAGTGCATTTTTTTGTGATTTTTTTTCCAAAGGTCACTATTGGCCTTATCAGGATTCATGTATTGTTATTATACAATTTTCAGAAATTTTCTTATGTCAAATCCTCCTGAAGCGCTTTTTAAGGTTTTTAATTAAATGAATTAGTCACTATCTGCAACCTGAATTTTGGTGAACATGTTTATTTAATGAGATGATATCACAGCTGTCATATGAATTAAACTTAAATCTGAGGAATTTATTTCTTTGCTACTTCACTTGTTGCGAGTTATCGTCAACAAGCGACACAACGTTTGTTATCAAAATGACAATTCTTACAATAACTTTTCATTTCATCTCAAAAGTGTATTAGAAAGTGAAAAATGAATGGAAGAGAGAATTTCCAGAACTACGAATTTGATTTTCCTTTTAGTGTAACAACTTCTTAATGAAAATTGATCGAGTATTCACAACTCAAGACGTGTCGTTTTTGCTTAGCAGGTCCAGCGAGTAATTAAATTAATTGGAGCTTTCACTCGAAGCGTCAGCAGTGGAATCAGACTTGGCAGAATTTGGAAGTCCGTTGCATGGTCTCAGGGTTTTCTGCAGGACATGCGCATCGGCCGGCTCGATGCGTTTGTAATAGTGCTCCTTTGTCTCCACAATTTCAAAAGAAAACTTCTTGTAGAACTCAATCGCGCTGGCATTGTTCACTTGCACATGCCTGAAAATAAAAATTTTATTAATTTTTCAGCCTAATAAAAAGTTATAACTTCAAAAATTTAATTCATCACAATAAATTGTCCCCGTCGAATAAAATATATTAGTGATTTAGAGAAAGTTATTTAAATTACATGCCTCTTAATCACAGTGAATCACAGAATATTCAAAATAAATTATTTTGAATTATAACTTTTACGTTTTATTCTGAATCTTTTTCCGCCAGATTTTTCCGAATAAATACTCACAGAAAAATACTGTCAAAATTGCCATCAGCCTGAACATAGTTGAGAATGTGCTCGACCATCTTGGTGCCAATTCCGAGTCTTCTGTACTGCTTCAGACAGCCTAGGGTCATGATGTAAAGCCGTCTTGAATTCTCAGAAAGATCTATGCGGCAGCACACGGCGCCAACCACTATGTCATTGTAATAAGCTGCAAAATTTAAATTAGATTAAAATTTCTTCGTTAAAATTACGACAAACCTAATTTAGCGAGTTCACCGGCCTCCAAGACATCTTTGTAAAATTTGTCATTGTAGGAGACGGGAAAGACAACCTGGTTGAGCTTTTTCAGCTGTCTGATGTTGTGTTGAGTCACGTCGCCCAGCTCAATTTTGGACCTGCAACCACTCACAGGTCAAAAACGGGACGAAATTAATTTTTGTAGTAAATTTTTGAATTCAAGTAGGTGCGTTAATAGCAGTCCAAGGTCTTAAATCGTAAGTTTCGTGCCAAATTTCAAAACAAAGGATGACAATCGAGTCCAACGTGTTCACATTTCAGGCCGTTTTTTTACCTGGTCATTTTGCTGGATTGGGTTGAGTTGCAAAATAATGGGGTCCCGAGAGATCAGAGACGCCAGCCGAGCGTAGGATAAGTTCAAAAGTGGCGAAAAACGTGAAGGAAAACTAAAAATTGGCGAAAAGTCGAGAAAAGCACAGCGCGAAGCGGCAGCGATCACAGAGGGACGATATCAGCGCCACTTGGATCCAGCGGCGGGGCATCAAATACGAGAATCTGGGACACTTCCTAGTCAAATTCACTTCCGAAATTCATGCCCATATCTTGAATTCGTAAGTATTTAATTGAAATAATGGATGTAATTTTTATTTTAAGAATATTAATAATTTTTTAAATTGAAAAAGTAGCTCTGAAAGAGGTCAATCTGCATTTTGACAGCATTGTCAGCTGACTGTCTTGTGACTCGCGATCGGCCGTGCAGACGTGAAGTTCCCGAGCAGAAGCAGATTTCAACCAGAAGGAGCGGAATTTGAGGCAAGTATCTTTAATTAAAGTTTCAGGAAGAACCCTTTGAACACATGAAATCGTCCTGAATGCCGACGAGTAGAAATTTTGGTGGAAATTTGGCTGCAAAACGTTGAGAGAGGTTAGGGCGGCCAACCCCCTGCGGGTCGATGGCTTGATTCGCGCTGATTTGATCGATATTCGTACATAAACTCGCGGAAAATTCGCAATTCGGGTTTGCCGAAGTTTTCTGCACAGGTTAGAACTCAACTTTGATGGCATTTCATACTGGACGCCGGATTTCTTGCGTTCCAGATGGACATATTGCGGCTACCGAAATTTGCACCACTCGGATTTGCATAACTTTCGAGAAGCCATTGGTGCTCAAATTTTTCACAAAAATGTCACAGTATCGTCAAAGAAATTATTTTTTGTTTATTTCTTAAATTTCCGGGTTGAGAATGGAGTGGAGACGGAAGGTAAATCACGTGCCCCGAGGGCAATTAGCACTTATGTGAGCGAGAGAGCGCGGTTTGTTTGTCTGATTCGCTCTGCTGGGCTCGAGAAGGAGAGTCTTGAGCTCTACATTAATCATCATTTTCATTTTATTTCATCGAATTTCATTCATTGCTCGCTATGGCCTTTTCCAGTCTGCTCTCGGTGCCGACCGAGCTGCTGCGCGACCTAATAGCAAATTTCGCGGCCCCTAAACAATATAATCTGGAAAGTGCAATTTTCAACAGCAATACGGCAGCAGGAGACGGTAAGAAAAAATAGTAATAGCAGAGGATGGGCTTTGAAAAAAAGATAACCTGCTGCGTCTTATCGCGAGCCCAGCGAGGTGTTTATCATTCGTCGCACTCCCTGCGCTCAGTGGAGGAATATTTAAATGTTACCTTTCAGCCTACAATTTAATTATTTCCACATAATTTAAAGTTTTTTTTTTGTTAAAACTGGTTTAAACCTCAAATATTCATCTAAACCTTATTAAAAAAAAGAAAGATAAATAGAGATAACATTTTAAATTTAAAAAAATTTCTAAACTGGAATTCTTAACAAAATCTTATCATCAAATTAAACAAATATGTCGTATTATTTGGACTATTGTGAATAATGAATAATAGTAAAAATTAAAATGTAATAGAATTAAATAATTTCAAGTATAATTTGTAAGATATTTGTGATAAAAATATGTATACCCAAAAATAAAATATTTAGCCTGTTGCTTAACTGCAACTGACGTATCTTCTGGCACCGAATACCGGCCTCAATGATTTTGCACTTCTCTGATTTTTTATGCAAAACTTGACTCTAGCGTCGAGGCTGAGTGAACCCTAGACTTAATCTCAAATGATTTCTTTGTTTGTAGGAGTCGCGATGTCGCGGGGCTTGGCGAAAATTCAGAATGAGGAGCGAGAGGGCAAATTCGGATACGTCTTTGCCGTATCTGGACCTGGTAAGTTGAATTGAGTTTAATCAAATTTTTTTTACATTAAAATAGTATGTTGCTTTAAACTTGGATTAATTTGCATCAGTTTTATTAATAAAATAGCACTTTTTAAATCGGAATTAATTGTTAACAAAATGATCGATAAATTTTCTTCTTATTTTAGTGGTCACTGCCGAGCGTATGTCTGGTTCGGCCATGTACGAGTTGGTGCGTGTCGGCTACTCCGAGCTGGTGGGTGAGATCATTCGTCTTGAAGGAGACATGGCCACCATCCAGGTGTACGAAGAAACGTCCGGCGTAACCGTGGGCGACCCTGTGCTGCGTACGGGCAAACCTCTTTCGGTCGAACTTGGCCCCGGCATCATGGGCTCCATTTTCGACGGTATCCAGCGACCTCTGAAGGACATTAATGAGCTCTCGAATTCCATCTACATCCCAAAGGGCGTCAACATTCCTGCCCTCAACACAGTGGCCCAGTGGGACTTCAACCCCGTCAACATTAAGGTGATAATAATTCCACTAAAGATTAATTGCTGAATCCTTGAATGTATTTACTTTGTATTAAATTACAATGTGTTGTTTAAATTTAAAATTTAATATCAAATTTCTCTTCATTTTCCCAGATTGGAAGTCACATTACAGGTGGCGATATTTACGGCATGGTGCATGAGAACACCCTTGTAAAGCACAAACTCATCCTGCCTCCCAGAGACAAGGGCACAGTGACCTACATTGCCGAGCCTGGAAACTACACAGTCAAGGTACTTTTTAATCTCAATATTACTCTTAACTTTACTTGCGATAATTAATCATTGACTGTAATTTTAAGGACGTTGTTTTGGAGACCGAGTTTGATGGCGAGAAGACCAAGTACACAATGTTGCAAGTGTGGCCTGTGCGTCAGCCGAGACCTGTGACGGAAAAGTTGCCCGCAAACCACCCTCTGCTCACTGGACAGCGAGTGCTCGATTCACTCTTCCCGTGAGTTTCGTCATTACATTCTCTATTTTAAAATGAAAATCTCCCATTTATTTTTCAGCTGTGTCCAAGGCGGAACCACTGCCATTCCCGGGGCTTTCGGTTGTGGAAAAACTGTCATCTCACAGTCGTTGTCCAAGTACTCAAACTCTGACGTCATTGTTTATGTTGGCTGCGGAGAGCGTGGTAATGAGATGTCTGAGGTATGTTGTTATTGGCGACCTTTTTAATTTTTAAGTTGTCAAAAATTAAACAAATTTAAACCTCCAGGTATTGCGAGACTTCCCAGAATTGACCTGCGAAATTGATGGTGTCACCGAGTCTATCATGAAGCGTACTGCCCTTGTGGCCAACACTTCTAACATGCCTGTCGCTGCCCGTGAAGCTTCCATCTATACTGGTAAATAAAATAATACAAATATCTTTAAAAATCGAGTAACTTTATCAAATGAAATAGGTTATAATTAGAAAAATTAAAGCTACAGTTATATAAATATTATATATCATTTTATCAAACACCATTTTAAAATATTAGTTTTTAAAAACATTTAAAATATTAAAAAAAAAGAATTCTAAAATAGAATATAACCTTTTAATATTTAATCAAAATCCTTTTCTTCTTAGGCATTACTCTGTCTGAGTACTTCCGTGACATGGGTTACAATGTTTCGATGATGGCTGACTCGACTTCCCGTTGGGCCGAAGCTCTTCGTGAAATCTCAGGTCGTCTTGCTGAGATGCCTGCCGATTCTGGCTACCCTGCCTACCTGGGTGCTCGTTTGGCCTCCTTCTACGAGCGTGCAGGTCGTGTCAAGTGTCTTGGCAACCCTGAGCGTGAGGGCTCCGTCAGTATTGTCGGCGCTGTGTCTCCACCCGGTGGTGACTTCTCCGACCCCGTCACTTCTGCCACTCTTGGTATTGTGCAGGTCTTCTGGGGCTTGGACAAGAAACTTGCCCAGCGCAAACACTTCCCCTCCATCAACTGGCTCATTTCTTACAGGTACAGTAGAATAATAAAATTACAAAAAAAGTTATATTTTGAAAATTTTGTTAAAAATTATTAATTAGAAATCCTTGTTATTTTGTTATTTTCATCTTTCTTCAAAATTTCCAATCAATAAAAAGTTTTCCTTATAAACCGTTTATATTTAAAATTCTGCAGTAAATACATGAGGGCCCTGGACGACTACTATGACAAGAACTTCCCTGAGTTCGTGGCATTGAGGACTAAGGTGAAGGAAATCCTGCAGGAGGAAGAGGACTTGTCGGAAATCGTGCAGCTCGTAGGCAAAGCCTCCCTTGCCGAGACTGACAAAATCACCTTAGAAGTGGCCAAGCTTCTCAAGGACGATTTCCTTCAACAGAACAGGTGCTGTCGTAGATATTAAAATTTATTCATCTTAATAACCTGTACAATTTTGATCAGCTACTCGCCATACGATCGTTTCTGCCCCTTCTACAAGACAGTCGGCATGCTGAGAAACATGATGGGCTTCTTCGACATGTCCAGACACGCAGTCGAGTCGACAGCACAGAGCGAGAACAAAATCACCTGGGCAACTATCAAGGACAGCATGGGCCCCATCCTTTATCAGCTTTCCTCAATGAAGTTCAAGGTCAGTTTTTTATCAAACAAATTTTATTTTCAATAAAACAATCTATTTTTGATTTACAGGACCCTGTTAAGGAGGGTGAGGCAAAGATCAAGGCTGACTTTGACCAGCTATACGAAGACATCCAACAGGCCTTCCGCAACCTGGAAGACTAAACATTGCTCTAGCAAGTCTACCAGTGTGCGGACGAGTTGGTCGCGCCGCCAACAAGCATCACCCTTTTAGTACCCTAGCCACCAGTGTAAATAGTTTTCTTTTTGCCCAGTTATTGGCGCCTCCAACTCGCCTATCAGCGGATTTTGCATTCCAGTTTAGCACAAGTCTAGGTGTAAAAATTTATCCAAATCATGCCCCCGACCGCTCCCAACTATCACTGAGGGCGGCCACTCATTGAATATATCATGCTGCTGATGTTTTTCTCCTCGATTCCAAGTCTGTTGATATTTTTGGTGTAACAACACAGTATTAGTTGTTTTTCAGCAATATTTGCTCGACCACAGAGTTGATGATAATAATAATACTGACTTAACAATAACAAACAAAACGCCGTCAAGGGTTCTAAATTGAACGATGTACTATTTAAAAAAAAAAAATTATAAAACGATTATGAAGTAGATTGCTAGTGTAAATGGGCCGTTTCGTCGTGTATATGATGTACATTAATTAACTACTAATATCACTTGTTATATTATGATATATACCATGTTGTCCGTTCTGAAAAATTGATGATTTTATTTTTTGTTGAACCATTTATTTTGTCGAACAAAGAAACGTTCAAAAGTATTTTTTGGTGCGAAATGATATTACCTGAAAACGAAGATGTCACTTTGCTAGTTATTTGAAATCAATTGTGTTGTGATGGCTACATTCCCGTCGTTTCTGTAGAATCAAAACTTAATGAATAAATAAAAATGCAACATGTAATGTTAAATCTGGAAATTTTGTCCTTAAATCCATTCTTAAACCTCAATAACCTTTTATATTTATCAAGGATTTTATTCTTATATGATTTCAATTTATAGAGAAACACTTAATGACATTTTATTGCATACATTTACATTTACATAATATTTTCGCTTGTTTTAATTTTTTATTTATTTGAAAATTTTTGCGAAACTTTTTGTCATTTCATCTCTTTTAGTGCTTTCTATTAAATTTTTCAATTTACATAAGGAAATGCACACATATATAAATTTATATAATTATATATTATGTGTGCACATATTTTGCATACGGCGCGGCGCCTTCTCGTTCTCTCCTCTCTCCTGATGGCTTCTCTGCGGTGGCTAACTTGTTGGCTAGCTTCATGGTGCTGCAACGTACCAGCCTTTCAAAAACAAATTTTTTAAACATTGTAAGAAAGATTTGGTCGCATACATCAGTATAAATCAAATTATAATAGTTTTTATAAAAATAAAAAAACTAAATTAAATTTTTTACGGATTTTACAACTAATAGTAAAAAAAGACAGGGAGCGCAAGTTGGTAGGTTGCTTAACTTGCTATTTTGTTCAATCATCGTAATCATTGATCATTTAAAATTAAAGCCGCTAGCGCTAGGACAGCGTTCAACACATTTGTTTTGTGTTGTTTTCGCAACGAATTGCATTTTAAAATCGTAAATTTCCATAATTTTCGGGATCTTGTTTATATCTCACATCTCAAATAGAATATTTGTTGACAGAAATTATAAAATATGGATCCTAAACCACAGAAAATGCCCAAAGTGGCAAAGGTTCGTAAATATTTACACATTTAATTGAAATTTGTTCTTACTTCCTGATTTTCCTTTCTTTTTAAATTAGTTAAAAGTGTTGCTTCATTTTCATTCAATTGATTTTCAATCTTAATTTTAAATATTTTGCAGGTCAAAAACAAAGCGCCAGCAGAGATCCAGATTACAGCTGAGCAGCTTCTCCGTGAAGCCAAAGAGAGAGATTTGGAAATCCAGCCTCCGGTATGATGCACAATATTAACCATTTATCTCAATGTTAATTCTGACCATAAAAAATATCACAGCCGCCAAAGCAAAAGATTTCCGACAAGGATGAACTTGCCGACTATCAACTCCGCAAAAGAAAGGCATTCGAAGATGAGCTCCGCAAAAACAGGAGTGTTATCACCAACTGGATCAAATATGCCAAATGGGAGGAAAGCCAGAAAGAGTTGCAAAGGTTTGATTCAATTACACGGAACAATCCAATAAAATTAAATATTTTTCAAATTTGCAGAGCTCGTTCAATTTTTGAAAGAGCTTTGGATGTCGATCACCGAAACATCACACTATGGCTCAAGTACACCGAGATGGAAATGCGCAACCGGCAAATCAACCATGCCAGGAATTTGTGGGACCGAGCAGTTACTATTCTGCCAAGAGCCAACCAATTTTGGTACAAGTATCAATACATGGAGGAAATGGTTGGAAATATTGCCGGTAATATTTTACAAATCTGAAATTGAGCAGGATTTAAGTTTAATTTTGTGTGTAGGAAGTAGGCAAGTATTTGAAAGGTGGATGGAGTGGGAACCAGATGAGCAGGCTTGGCAGACATACATTAACTTTGAGCTTCGCTACAAGGAAATCGATCGAGCAAGAGAAATTTACGAGCGGTTCGTCATGGTGCATCCCGAAGCAAAGCACTGGATCAAATATGCCAGGTTGGAATCAAACTTGTTTTATGAAAACATTAATTGCTAATCAATAATTTTTAGATTTGAAGAGCAGCACGCGTTTATTGTCAGTGCGAGAAATGTCTATCAAAGGGCTGTAGAGTTCTATGGTGACGACGACATGGACGAAAGGCTTTACATTGCTTTTGCTCGATTTGAAGAAAATCAAAGAGAGGTAAATTTTTTGCCTTTATTCTGAAATCGTTGTTAAGACTTTTATTTATTTACTAGCATGACAGAGCTCGGGCTATTTACAAGTACGCTTTGGAGCACATTCCGAAAGAACGGGCACAAGAGCTCTACAAAAACTACACCATCCATGAGAAGAAGTACGGTGATAGGACTGGCATTGAAGATGTCATCGTGAGCAAAAGGAAGTTCCAGTACGAGGAGGAGGTCAAAGCCAACCCTTCTAATTATGACGCCTGGTTTGATTATTTGCGACTTGTGGAAAGTGAAGGAAATCCGGACATCATTAGAGAGACCTACGAGAGGGCAATAGCTAATGTTCCACCAACAAAGGTTTGCTTTTATATTTTTTTGCAAATTCAAATATCTCTTATCTTCCTTTTTTAGGAAAAAACATACTGGCGTCGATATATTTATCTCTGGGTAAACTACGCCCTTTTTGAAGAGCTAGAAATGGAAGATGAGGAAAGGACGCGCCAGGTTTACAAGGCCTGCCTTCAGCTGCTGCCACACAAAAGCTTTACCTTTAGCAAAATGTGGCTTTATTATGCCAATTTTGAAATAAGGAACAAAAATTTGGCCATGGCTCGGAAATATTTGGTAAAAATAATTCATCTTTTTTAAATTTAATTTTGAATTGCCACGTGAGGAATTAATTTGATTTTTCAGTTGTCATAACAATTTGTGTATTGCAATAATCTTTTTTGGCTTGAAATTTCTACAAAATCTAAATTTAGTTTTATTTGCAGGGCATGGCCATTGGACTGTGTCCCAAGGACAAGCTCTTCAGAGGCTACATTGACTTGGAAATCCAGCTTCGTGAATTCGACAGGTGCAGAATTTTGTACCAAAAGTTCCTGGAATTTGGACCAGAAAACTGCATTACTTGGATGAGGGTACGACATACAATTCATAATTGGAAACAGTTTTACTGGACTAAATATTTGTACTTAGTTTGCTGAGTTGGAAACTTTATTGGGAGATCAGGAAAGAGCTCGAGCCATTTATGAGCTCGCTATCAACCAGCCTCGATTGGACATGCCGGAACTTTTGTGGAAGGCCTACATTGATTTTGAAGTTGGCCAGGAACAGACTGAAAACGCTCGGCAACTGTATGAACGGTTACTAGAAAGAACTTCGCATGTTAAGGTATTGAAAACTTATATTTTGTAAATTTTCTTTAATTTATTCTATAAATTTAAGGTCTGGATGAGTTTTGCTCAGTTCGAGTTGCAATCGGCTGGCGAGGAAGGCAATGTGGAGAGATCCAGGGGTGTTTATGACAGAGCTAACAACACACTGCGTCTGGCCATGGAGAAGGATGAAAGAGTTCTGCTTCTGGAAGCGTGGAGGGAGTTTGAAGCCGAATACGGTGATGACGAGAGCAGAGAAAAACTTAAGACAAAGCTCCCGAAAAGAATCAAGCGGAGGCAGAGAGTCCAGGCCGAGGATGGAGTAAGACCTTTTAAAACAAATTTGAGTTGAAATTATTATAAAATAATTTTCAGAGCGATGCTGGCTGGGAAGAGTTTTACGACTACTTATTTCCTGAAGACGAAGCCTCTAAGCCAAACCTCAAACTTCTTGCAGCGGCCAAAGCGTGGAAGCAAAAGCAGATGGAAGGAAGCAGTAGTGAAGCTGAATCAGATGTTGCGGGTCCGTCAGGAATTTTGGCTGCAGCCAGAGCCTGGAAAGAAAACCAGAGTGAGGATGGTGAAAGCTCTGGGCAGCTGCCTGCTGATATCGACCGAGACGATGCTAGCGAAAGTGGTAGTGAAGAAGAGTCTGAGGTAGAAATTTCAATGTTATTTAAAATAGTAAATAATCATAAAATTGAAATATTTTTTAGAAATCGGACCAAGAGATGGAGCAGGAAAAAGAATCAGAGGAGACAAGAGAAGTTCAAAAAACGTAAAAATGTTCAACATTATTTTAGAATTTTAATTCTTTCCATAAATAATGCAATCTCTGCTTTTCCAAATCAAATGTATTTATTTTCATGTTCCTCAATTAGTTATGCCAATCAAGATAAATAGAGTAGATATATTATTTGTTTTGCTATCTGTCAGTCTCATCCATCTCTGAAAGTAATCCCTCTTGGCAGTTCTCATTAACGCAGAAAATGGCAGTCAGATGCTCCCCACTGGCGGGCGCTGTCCATTTTTACAGATTTAATTAACATCTCGTGTCGCCTGCCAAGACACATGTGCTTGGGGGGACTGATGAATCACAACTACAAAGACCACAGAATATTAGGAAGATAAGCAAGAAACGCGTAGGGGAGAATTATTGTGGAAGAGGGAAGTGCCAAGGCATTGTTTAAACAAAAATATTAATGGCATGTGCGCAAAGAAAAGCTAGTGTTATTATCCTGGCTTGGTCATTAATTTTACAAATTAATTTTATTTTATAAGGAAGTATTTTTATGTGTTTGAAACTACTTAAAAATATATGAAGGCGCATATTTTTGTCTTATTACTTTCAAGAAAGGCACATTATTTACACAATTGGAGAAAATAAGGAGTCATTCTTTCAAAATTAAACGTTGAATGAAATGATTGCTCTATTATTATTTTTTGCAAGTAGAATTGTTTTTTAAAGCGTCGCATAAAAGCTTTCACTTTTCTTCTCTCGTGCTTTGTGTTATTATTTCAACTGCCATTTCCGCGTCGTGTCATAATGACGACAATGCTCGACGGTCAAATCTGTAAGAGTGGATTTATAAACTAAATTTCGTGCCTTGCAACATCTGCTTGTGGAATAGTAAAAAAATGCGAGCGTGGCGCTTTATTGTACATTATAATTCGGTGAAAGAGAATTAAGGCGCAGCAGGACAAGCTTGATGAAGTTTCACACACAGTTGCTCGTCGACTGGCTGACCGTGCTCTAAGCTAGTCTCTGCTCCAGTTTTTTTCCCTCGTCCGAGGGGCGGAAGGGGTGACCGTCGGACGACCACTGGGGTGGACTGCTTTTGGTCAACAACCGTTGTGTGGCCCACTCGGCGTGCATAAAAAACGAGCCTGTTTTGTGCGCCACATGCTCAAGAGGACTGACCACTTTTTTGTCTTGTTCCTCGGACGCGGAGCGAAGGGGTGAGTTTTTCAAATTTTCCAACCCCCGAGTGCAACAGTAGCCAAAGGGGTTTGATAGTTGATTTACGCACTGTTTCGAAAGCTGGGACGCAACTTTTTATTGTGCTCGATTCAAAACACGCACGCTCGACGCACAAAGGAGGAAAATTGTTTGATGGAATAATTTTTTATTGAATTATGATGGAGTGCGCGCCGAAAACGGACTATGGAGGGTGAATGCTTTTTGATTGAGCCGGCACCGTCCGTCCGGAGAGTTGAATGGGTGAAAAAGTTGCTTTGACCACTGCTTGCGGACTCGAGTAATAAAATTATTGTCGCGTGATTGCCCCATTCAAATCGGTGTTGGCCAGCAGCTTGTCCGTGCACGGTGAAAATTTGACAGTCTGATTGTACGATTCCACCGAGCTTTTGATTAATGGCAATATGACTATAAATTTTATACATCAAAATATCAAATTGATGAATACGCATTGAATTTAAAAATTATTAGATCGCCAATGATCCTAATTTATTTAATGGGTCCACAAACACGCCTTTTCAATGAAACTTCCGGAAAGTTCATGAATTCAAAATTAATTTTGTACTTCATCTGTTTATATTAGTTATTAGTGTATATAGCATTATTAAAATATGTGGATAATAATTGTAATTATTGAATGACATCTAAAAAAAAATAACATCATAACATATGGACTCTACTTGATTTACGATTGCGTCTGCGAATATGCATTTTTCTATTGACTGGTTTTGATTTAAATACATAATAATTGATTACAAATTTTAGTATATATCTAATATAATATAGTTAGAATATTGTATTAATTTAATTTCCATCTAATTTAAAAGTTAATAAATATTTAAATAAATGATAAATAAAATTATTAAAAATAAAATAAAATCCTATAAAAGTCTATAGCTTAAAATTTTATAAAACTAATATGACTAATATTATAACAAAATAAAACTTAAAAAAAAAAAAAACATTTAATCAATTTAAAATCTATGGAACACAATCATCTTTAAAAAAACAGCTGTGAAAAAATCTGTTACATGTTTGTAATTGAGCACATAACACTAGATGATACTTCTGATTTATTTTCCAATCAAAAGCTAAAAAATTAGGCACCAGCACCAGAAATATGTTTTTATTTTTATTTATTTATTACGTTAAAATTTTATAGCAAATGTGACGTTTCGAATAAATTGCTTTTTCGGTCGGAGGTCAGACTTGTGCCTCCTTGTTCGCTGACCCCTCGTGTTCAAAGAAGGGTGTGAAAGGAACAAGGGCTGACCCGATACTATTAGCGTGCGCTTCCCCAATACACGCGCGTCAGAGTTATTTGTTCCCCTGGCCAGCACGCGGGTTTCTCGAATTTCAAGACTGGACAGTGGTCAGCCAGCACTGCAAAGAGGGTGCCGTTGGCCGGGGGTGGCGCGTGCATTTTTCGCACCCTCTTGAAATTCGAATTACGGGAAACGCGCGTGCGAGTAAATAACTTTTTGTTATTGTCTGCCGCCCTTTGTGTGATTCTCCCCTATGAGATACTTTTTTCACTTTTTTTTCAAACGAAGTTGGAAGCAAAATATATAGAGAGGACTTTTCCATTGTTAGTGGCAGTTAGCGGCCAATTTGTGTGTACTAAATAATAATAAAAAAATCAAAATATTAAAAAATTTAAATAAAACTATTTAAAATTTGATTCCTCTGTCCAAATAATTTTGCTTCTTAGTGTCTGGGCTAACAAATAACCATTCAATTGAGTTTAGTTCATACATTGAATTAAATTTATTATATTTTTCATTGAAGTAAATATAGTTGTGTAAAATTTTTGAACACAATTTGCATTTAAAAAATTCAATATTCATTACCAAACAAAAAGCGGAGGCTGAGTGTCATTTGATGTCGGGCGTTTTAGCAGATATCTGGTAGTTTTAAACCCTTTCTTCTTTTTTTCCAATTTAAATTTTTTTGTATTGACCGAGAAGAATAAATAATAAAGAGGTACTCAACCTTTTCTCAACCTAACTCTGTAATAAAAAGTAATCAGTTAATCATCTTACGAAGCACGTGTCTTTTAATATTGTTAAGCGAGTCTCAGTTTCTCTCTTGTAAGTGACAATTTTACTCGCTCTTGCTCTCTCTTGCATGATATGCGCGTCGCGCACCGCGAATCATTTTCGCCTAATAGGCAACACGTACGTCCGCGTGTTTGCTGCAATGGGCGGAAAGTGCTCCACCAGCAGATTGAGACTCTCATGAACGCGACACGGCCTGCTTCCCCAATTGCCGCTGAATATGCACTCGCGAAATTGCCAGCAGTTAACCCCAAAAATCGCACCGCGTCGGCAGTTTGGCTTAATGTTTGCGCCTTGCGGAGAGTCGGCGGTTGGATCATTCGCGGGTAGCAGAGGCTGATGGGCGCTGCAGCCAAAAAGAAAGAATCGGCGGTGGCCATACGCGGTCTGCATTGGAATTGATCATGATTAATAAATGCCAAAAATTTTAGTGCTAGAGCCGATTACGTATAAATTTCGTTTGATAAGAGATATCTCAACATTGGGCAGATGTAGAGAAATACGATTGATAAATAAAAGTTATAAAACTATTTGAAATGCATGCTTAAAAGTAACTTTAAATCTGCTGAAATTTAGCCTTTTATTCATATATGTGATTTTCTTGGTGAATTAACAATCACTTTTTAGATTTGCATTTTTTCTCCCAGTAAAATGCAACTTTGCTAAGAAATAACCCACAAAAAACTATTAATTGAGCCAAATTATTGTTTTCATTTCTATCTAAGATTTAGATTAAAGGATAAATTCTGATTTAAAAAAATTCAAATGCCATAATTACTGATTTGAGCAGAAAATTTGTTGCTAATTAAAATGCAGCTAATTGTAACTCAACGTCATTTGCATGCGATGGAAAGTAAACACAAAGGGGACTTCTTCCTGCACGACAAAAAAAATTCGCAGGTGCTGCAGATTTTAGTGCGGCATTAAATTAGACTGTAAGCAAATCATTATTCAAATGAGGCGCGCGGTGGCAGAGCGGCGCTCGCTTAATTTTCCAAGCTTGAAAATATATATCCGAGCAAGGGTTAATTTTTTATGACAGTTTGCGGGATGCGTTATTAATAAAAAAGCAGCCGCGTCTCTCTCTCTACATCCAGCTAGTTTGCATTATTATTTTGCTAATCTCCTGCGGGGCCGCTTCTTTATGTAGATCGGCCGGCCGGCGGGTCGTTTGTGTATTTTTTTGTGGCGTCAGCCAGGACGAGCGAAAAGGAGAGAGACAGTTGCATAATATGCATGTATTCGATTCATCAGCAGTTGAAAGTTTTTTTTATTATTCAGATGCTGCCGCGCCTTTTCGTCCCTTAATGCATTTTTTAACCCTTTCTGTCCCCTCTCGTATACTCGCTCGACGGTCGCTCGGCTACCCTCACGCCTAGGATGCTCTCCCGCGTGCATCTGTCGCTGCAAATCTGCATATATGTGCAACGCACACGTTTTTATCAAAAGCGCAGCCGACACAAAATTCAACTAGCTTTTGACACAAATTTTATTAGCACCCAAAGCGCAGTTGAAATTTTAAAGTGAATTTAAATTATAATAACGATTTTATTGAAAATCTTTAAAATCACTTCATGATCATAGCAAATTAAATATTTTTTATTTTTATATGGACAAATTTTTGTTAAAAAAAATGGCTCAATTATTCCAAAGTTTTCTTAAGTAGTGCTAATTTTTGATTAAAATTGGCTAATTAATATTAAAAATAATGAAACATAAAAACGTAATAATTCATAGCTTATTTTTAAAGCTAACAATATTGGACTAAATGATATATTATTATAGGTGATTGAACAAATTATTTATAATTAATAATTAATCTAACAAAAAATGTGAATTTGGCTGCGAGTGTAAGAGAATTGTTTGACGGCAGGTTGCAAATTTATGGTGATTAGGCGTCAGGAAGCGGAGGTATAGGCGCAGTTTCGGGTCGGATCGCGTTTCACCATCGCTGTTCTGAGCAAGCAAGGCAAACTGAGAGCGCGGCACCTCGAGCAGCATCGGTTTATTAAGGTAGGCAAATGAGCACCCGAGAGCAAACTGGAAGTGAGTTTGTTTGTCCAGGAGCGAGCGAGATGAATCTCCTCCGTATTACCCGTGTGCATATATTAGCCGCCGAATATATGTGTGTGTGTGAGCAGAGAGAGAGCAAACTTTGCTTGATGAAAGCTCATCAGCCAACCACAAGACAAACAAAGTCGAGTACAGCATCGCAAACTTGATGTGCAGGAAGAAAATCTCGGGCCACGCCGGCAGACGGTGGGCGAACTAGCTCTCTGAGTAATATGTGCTTTTCCTCAGCTCTCTCTGTGTGTGTACGTAGTCCAAAAAGCAGGCAGGGGCGCGTCGGCACGCCGAGAGGCCTCTGGGGCTAATTTCACCATTAGGCCTCGCTTCCCCCGAAATTCACTTGGCAAAGCTACAGCTAGAGAGAATTGCAAATAGCATAAACAGAAGCCAAACCAAACTAATGAGAATAATTTTTTAATTAGAATTTAGACAAAAATGGTAAACTAGCAACTTTTCCGTGCGTTTTTTTCTAAATTTTATATTAACAATTAATTTTGGTTGTAATATATCATAATTCTGATTGAATTTAACTATAAATGCAATAATCTCAATAATATTTTATTTTCTATAATTTATTTTCAACAGAACTAAGAGTGGGAAATAATTCATCTTTCAAAAAAGAGTGTGAGCTTTTAAAACCATATTGAAAAATTTATAATTTTTTACTAAAATTTAATCATAAATTATGAATTTAGTTAGTGTGAAACAGGATTTTTACAACTTAATGTTAAAGTCATATTTGATATTCAATAATTTTTAAATTAATATAATTTTATTGAATTTACAACTAAAAATGATTTAAAAATAAAAACAATAAAATAATCACTTATTAATAAAATTTTTTAAACAGATTTTATATATGTCAAATTATTATTTTCATATTTTCTATCAGTAGGTATCCTAGTTGACTCATTAATTAATTTTGATAATCGGTCATATTAGAGGAAAAATAAATTTTCTTCTGCACACATTGATACAGTTAAAATTTTTGATACATATCACATTTTTATGGAGGCTGAAAATGCGTGCGAGAAAAAGATTTGAACACGGATTAAATTGAAATTCCAACATTTTAACTCAATAATCATCTCCTCTAAAGCAACAAAATTTCTTATCTATTGAGATTCAAGTAAAGTAGATTATTCAAACTGCATGATTAAAAGAGTGGTTTATTTTTAGAATTTTTGTAACATAAACAAATTTTCATTCAGTTACAACTCACAAAATTTTAACCCATTATGTTTCACACTTTGACCCATCAATATTAAAAAAAAAGAAAAATTAAAAAAGCAAGCAGCATAATTATCAAAATTTTATTAAAAGAAGCAGTACAGTCTAGTAAACAATAATTTTGAACATTTAAAAATTGGATTTTAATTATCATCACCTCTGAATACCAAGTTGAAATGTTAACAATTTCATTTTTTTTATTGCTTGTTGAAGCGTTTATTTAAATTATACTGCAAGTTAAATGCAAATCATACACATCGTATTGAAGATCTTCATCCTTAGGGGATCGCATTTTGGGGTCGTTTCTGAACAGGTCGCGCCTGATTCCGCCCCTTGGAGCGTAAATGGCAGACACACATCTTGCGATGGCAAAACGTAGCGAAATTCATGCTTCACTTGGCTTGACAACCCTTCCAACTTATGGTTACAAAATGTGTGGAATATTCGCGCCCGTGCCACGGAATGCCGCTCCGGCTAAAACTTTGGGACAGGGACGTGTCATTCTGTCAAGTATTAAGAAAATGTATGCATTGTGCCGAGCGCGCGCGAGTTCCGGGGGTGATTTTGTCTCGTGCTCGCTGCGGGCGCGCGTGTGGTGAAGTCTGAAGTTGAGCAGAGCGACGCTTGGAAATTGGATTTTATTAAAATTCGGCGTGGATTGCGTGACAAGTAGAGTCAATTTGAATTCCAGAAGGTCGTTGCCGGAAAGCATGCCGAAATTCCAAATGATGTGAGCGATCCTTTTAAAAAATCAGAGGCAACCGTTCTGTATAAAAAACGACAACCTCGGTTTGAAAAAAAAAATCAAGATTTTTATCAGTGATTTTGATAATTTGAGAAAAGATCAAAAGTACTGCATAAAATTGCTTATTTTAATTATTTAGCACATATAAATAAACAAAACTAGTAAATTCTAAAAACATTCACAAAACATTAACGTTTAATGGCCACTCATTGAATATATCATGCTGCTGATGTTTTTCTCCTCGATTCCAAGTCTGTTGATATTTTTGGTGTAACAACACAGTATTAGTTGTTTTTCAGCAATATTTGCTCGACCACAGAGTTGATGATAATAATAATACTGACTTAACAATAACAAACAAAACGCCGTCAAGGGTTCTAAATTGAACGATGTACTATTTAAAAAAAAAAAATTATAAAACGATTATGAAGTAGATTGCTAGTGTAAATGGGCCGTTTCGTCGTGTATATGATGTACATTAATTAACTACTAATATCACTTGTTATATTATGATATATACCATGTTGTCCGTTCTGAAAAATTGATGATTTTATTTTTTGTTGAACCATTTATTTTGTCGAACAAAGAAACGTTCAAAAGTATTTTTTGGTGCGAAATGATATTACCTGAAAACGAAGATGTCACTTTGCTAGTTATTTGAAATCAATTGTGTTGTGATGGCTACATTCCCGTCGTTTCTGTAGAATCAAAACTTAATGAATAAATAAAAATGCAACATGTAATGTTAAATCTGGAAATTTTGTCCTTAAATCCATTCTTAAACCTCAATAACCTTTTATATTTATCAAGGATTTTATTCTTATATGATTTCAATTTATAGAGAAACACTTAATGACATTTTATTGCATACATTTACATTTACATAATATTTTCGCTTGTTTTAATTTTTTATTTATTTGAAAATTTTTGCGAAACTTTTTGTCATTTCATCTCTTTTAGTGCTTTCTATTAAATTTTTCAATTTACATAAGGAAATGCACACATATATAAATTTATATAATTATATATTATGTGTGCACATATTTTGCATACGGCGCGGCGCCTTCTCGTTCTCTCCTCTCTCCTGATGGCTTCTCTGCGGTGGCTAACTTGTTGGCTAGCTTCATGGTGCTGCAACGTACCAGCCTTTCAAAAACAAATTTTTTAAACATTGTAAGAAAGATTTGGTCGCATACATCAGTATAAATCAAATTATAATAGTTTTTATAAAAATAAAAAAACTAAATTAAATTTTTTACGGATTTTACAACTAATAGTAAAAAAAGACAGGGAGCGCAAGTTGGTAGGTTGCTTAACTTGCTATTTTGTTCAATCATCGTAATCATTGATCATTTAAAATTAAAGCCGCTAGCGCTAGGACAGCGTTCAACACATTTGTTTTGTGTTGTTTTCGCAACGAATTGCATTTTAAAATCGTAAATTTCCATAATTTTCGGGATCTTGTTTATATCTCACATCTCAAATAGAATATTTGTTGACAGAAATTATAAAATATGGATCCTAAACCACAGAAAATGCCCAAAGTGGCAAAGGTTCGTAAATATTTACACATTTAATTGAAATTTGTTCTTACTTCCTGATTTTCCTTTCTTTTTAAATTAGTTAAAAGTGTTGCTTCATTTTCATTCAATTGATTTTCAATCTTAATTTTAAATATTTTGCAGGTCAAAAACAAAGCGCCAGCAGAGATCCAGATTACAGCTGAGCAGCTTCTCCGTGAAGCCAAAGAGAGAGATTTGGAAATCCAGCCTCCGGTATGATGCACAATATTAACCATTTATCTCAATGTTAATTCTGACCATAAAAAATATCACAGCCGCCAAAGCAAAAGATTTCCGACAAGGATGAACTTGCCGACTATCAACTCCGCAAAAGAAAGGCATTCGAAGATGAGCTCCGCAAAAACAGGAGTGTTATCACCAACTGGATCAAATATGCCAAATGGGAGGAAAGCCAGAAAGAGTTGCAAAGGTTTGATTCAATTACACGGAACAATCCAATAAAATTAAATATTTTTCAAATTTGCAGAGCTCGTTCAATTTTTGAAAGAGCTTTGGATGTCGATCACCGAAACATCACACTATGGCTCAAGTACACCGAGATGGAAATGCGCAACCGGCAAATCAACCATGCCAGGAATTTGTGGGACCGAGCAGTTACTATTCTGCCAAGAGCCAACCAATTTTGGTACAAGTATCAATACATGGAGGAAATGGTTGGAAATATTGCCGGTAATATTTTACAAATCTGAAATTGAGCAGGATTTAAGTTTAATTTTGTGTGTAGGAAGTAGGCAAGTATTTGAAAGGTGGATGGAGTGGGAACCAGATGAGCAGGCTTGGCAGACATACATTAACTTTGAGCTTCGCTACAAGGAAATCGATCGAGCAAGAGAAATTTACGAGCGGTTCGTCATGGTGCATCCCGAAGCAAAGCACTGGATCAAATATGCCAGGTTGGAATCAAACTTGTTTTATGAAAACATTAATTGCTAATCAATAATTTTTAGATTTGAAGAGCAGCACGCGTTTATTGTCAGTGCGAGAAATGTCTATCAAAGGGCTGTAGAGTTCTATGGTGACGACGACATGGACGAAAGGCTTTACATTGCTTTTGCTCGATTTGAAGAAAATCAAAGAGAGGTAAATTTTTTGCCTTTATTCTGAAATCGTTGTTAAGACTTTTATTTATTTACTAGCATGACAGAGCTCGGGCTATTTACAAGTACGCTTTGGAGCACATTCCGAAAGAACGGGCACAAGAGCTCTACAAAAACTACACCATCCATGAGAAGAAGTACGGTGATAGGACTGGCATTGAAGATGTCATCGTGAGCAAAAGGAAGTTCCAGTACGAGGAGGAGGTCAAAGCCAACCCTTCTAATTATGACGCCTGGTTTGATTATTTGCGACTTGTGGAAAGTGAAGGAAATCCGGACATCATTAGAGAGACCTACGAGAGGGCAATAGCTAATGTTCCACCAACAAAGGTTTGCTTTTATATTTTTTTGCAAATTCAAATATCTCTTATCTTCCTTTTTTAGGAAAAAACATACTGGCGTCGATATATTTATCTCTGGGTAAACTACGCCCTTTTTGAAGAGCTAGAAATGGAAGATGAGGAAAGGACGCGCCAGGTTTACAAGGCCTGCCTTCAGCTGCTGCCACACAAAAGCTTTACCTTTAGCAAAATGTGGCTTTATTATGCCAATTTTGAAATAAGGAACAAAAATTTGGCCATGGCTCGGAAATATTTGGTAAAAATAATTCATCTTTTTTAAATTTAATTTTGAATTGCCACGTGAGGAATTAATTTGATTTTTCAGTTGTCATAACAATTTGTGTATTGCAATAATCTTTTTTGGCTTGAAATTTCTACAAAATCTAAATTTAGTTTTATTTGCAGGGCATGGCCATTGGACTGTGTCCCAAGGACAAGCTCTTCAGAGGCTACATTGACTTGGAAATCCAGCTTCGTGAATTCGACAGGTGCAGAATTTTGTACCAAAAGTTCCTGGAATTTGGACCAGAAAACTGCATTACTTGGATGAGGGTACGACATACAATTCATAATTGGAAACAGTTTTACTGGACTAAATATTTGTACTTAGTTTGCTGAGTTGGAAACTTTATTGGGAGATCAGGAAAGAGCTCGAGCCATTTATGAGCTCGCTATCAACCAGCCTCGATTGGACATGCCGGAACTTTTGTGGAAGGCCTACATTGATTTTGAAGTTGGCCAGGAACAGACTGAAAACGCTCGGCAACTGTATGAACGGTTACTAGAAAGAACTTCGCATGTTAAGGTATTGAAAACTTATATTTTGTAAATTTTCTTTAATTTATTCTATAAATTTAAGGTCTGGATGAGTTTTGCTCAGTTCGAGTTGCAATCGGCTGGCGAGGAAGGCAATGTGGAGAGATCCAGGGGTGTTTATGACAGAGCTAACAACACACTGCGTCTGGCCATGGAGAAGGATGAAAGAGTTCTGCTTCTGGAAGCGTGGAGGGAGTTTGAAGCCGAATACGGTGATGACGAGAGCAGAGAAAAACTTAAGACAAAGCTCCCGAAAAGAATCAAGCGGAGGCAGAGAGTCCAGGCCGAGGATGGAGTAAGACCTTTTAAAACAAATTTGAGTTGAAATTATTATAAAATAATTTTCAGAGCGATGCTGGCTGGGAAGAGTTTTACGACTACTTATTTCCTGAAGACGAAGCCTCTAAGCCAAACCTCAAACTTCTTGCAGCGGCCAAAGCGTGGAAGCAAAAGCAGATGGAAGGAAGCAGTAGTGAAGCTGAATCAGATGTTGCGGGTCCGTCAGGAATTTTGGCTGCAGCCAGAGCCTGGAAAGAAAACCAGAGTGAGGATGGTGAAAGCTCTGGGCAGCTGCCTGCTGATATCGACCGAGACGATGCTAGCGAAAGTGGTAGTGAAGAAGAGTCTGAGGTAGAAATTTCAATGTTATTTAAAATAGTAAATAATCATAAAATTGAAATATTTTTTAGAAATCGGACCAAGAGATGGAGCAGGAAAAAGAATCAGAGGAGACAAGAGAAGTTCAAAAAACGTAAAAATGTTCAACATTATTTTAGAATTTTAATTCTTTCCATAAATAATGCAATCTCTGCTTTTCCAAATCAAATGTATTTATTTTCATGTTCCTCAATTAGTTATGCCAATCAAGATAAATAGAGTAGATATATTATTTGTTTTGCTATCTGTCAGTCTCATCCATCTCTGAAAGTAATCCCTCTTGGCAGTTCTCATTAACGCAGAAAATGGCAGTCAGATGCTCCCCACTGGCGGGCGCTGTCCATTTTTACAGATTTAATTAACATCTCGTGTCGCCTGCCAAGACACATGTGCTTGGGGGGACTGATGAATCACAACTACAAAGACCACAGAATATTAGGAAGATAAGCAAGAAACGCGTAGGGGAGAATTATTGTGGAAGAGGGAAGTGCCAAGGCATTGTTTAAACAAAAATATTAATGGCATGTGCGCAAAGAAAAGCTAGTGTTATTATCCTGGCTTGGTCATTAATTTTACAAATTAATTTTATTTTATAAGGAAGTATTTTTATGTGTTTGAAACTACTTAAAAATATATGAAGGCGCATATTTTTGTCTTATTACTTTCAAGAAAGGCACATTATTTACACAATTGGAGAAAATAAGGAGTCATTCTTTCAAAATTAAACGTTGAATGAAATGATTGCTCTATTATTATTTTTTGCAAGTAGAATTGTTTTTTAAAGCGTCGCATAAAAGCTTTCACTTTTCTTCTCTCGTGCTTTGTGTTATTATTTCAACTGCCATTTCCGCGTCGTGTCATAATGACGACAATGCTCGACGGTCAAATCTGTAAGAGTGGATTTATAAACTAAATTTCGTGCCTTGCAACATCTGCTTGTGGAATAGTAAAAAAATGCGAGCGTGGCGCTTTATTGTACATTATAATTCGGTGAAAGAGAATTAAGGCGCAGCAGGACAAGCTTGATGAAGTTTCACACACAGTTGCTCGTCGACTGGCTGACCGTGCTCTAAGCTAGTCTCTGCTCCAGTTTTTTTCCCTCGTCCGAGGGGCGGAAGGGGTGACCGTCGGACGACCACTGGGGTGGACTGCTTTTGGTCAACAACCGTTGTGTGGCCCACTCGGCGTGCATAAAAAACGAGCCTGTTTTGTGCGCCACATGCTCAAGAGGACTGACCACTTTTTTGTCTTGTTCCTCGGACGCGGAGCGAAGGGGTGAGTTTTTCAAATTTTCCAACCCCCGAGTGCAACAGTAGCCAAAGGGGTTTGATAGTTGATTTACGCACTGTTTCGAAAGCTGGGACGCAACTTTTTATTGTGCTCGATTCAAAACACGCACGCTCGACGCACAAAGGAGGAAAATTGTTTGATGGAATAATTTTTTATTGAATTATGATGGAGTGCGCGCCGAAAACGGACTATGGAGGGTGAATGCTTTTTGATTGAGCCGGCACCGTCCGTCCGGAGAGTTGAATGGGTGAAAAAGTTGCTTTGACCACTGCTTGCGGACTCGAGTAATAAAATTATTGTCGCGTGATTGCCCCATTCAAATCGGTGTTGGCCAGCAGCTTGTCCGTGCACGGTGAAAATTTGACAGTCTGATTGTACGATTCCACCGAGCTTTTGATTAATGGCAATATGACTATAAATTTTATACATCAAAATATCAAATTGATGAATACGCATTGAATTTAAAAATTATTAGATCGCCAATGATCCTAATTTATTTAATGGGTCCACAAACACGCCTTTTCAATGAAACTTCCGGAAAGTTCATGAATTCAAAATTAATTTTGTACTTCATCTGTTTATATTAGTTATTAGTGTATATAGCATTATTAAAATATGTGGATAATAATTGTAATTATTGAATGACATCTAAAAAAAAATAACATCATAACATATGGACTCTACTTGATTTACGATTGCGTCTGCGAATATGCATTTTTCTATTGACTGGTTTTGATTTAAATACATAATAATTGATTACAAATTTTAGTATATATCTAATATAATATAGTTAGAATATTGTATTAATTTAATTTCCATCTAATTTAAAAGTTAATAAATATTTAAATAAATGATAAATAAAATTATTAAAAATAAAATAAAATCCTATAAAAGTCTATAGCTTAAAATTTTATAAAACTAATATGACTAATATTATAACAAAATAAAACTTAAAAAAAAAAAAAACATTTAATCAATTTAAAATCTATGGAACACAATCATCTTTAAAAAAACAGCTGTGAAAAAATCTGTTACATGTTTGTAATTGAGCACATAACACTAGATGATACTTCTGATTTATTTTCCAATCAAAAGCTAAAAAATTAGGCACCAGCACCAGAAATATGTTTTTATTTTTATTTATTTATTACGTTAAAATTTTATAGCAAATGTGACGTTTCGAATAAATTGCTTTTTCGGTCGGAGGTCAGACTTGTGCCTCCTTGTTCGCTGACCCCTCGTGTTCAAAGAAGGGTGTGAAAGGAACAAGGGCTGACCCGATACTATTAGCGTGCGCTTCCCCAATACACGCGCGTCAGAGTTATTTGTTCCCCTGGCCAGCACGCGGGTTTCTCGAATTTCAAGACTGGACAGTGGTCAGCCAGCACTGCAAAGAGGGTGCCGTTGGCCGGGGGTGGCGCGTGCATTTTTCGCACCCTCTTGAAATTCGAATTACGGGAAACGCGCGTGCGAGTAAATAACTTTTTGTTATTGTCTGCCGCCCTTTGTGTGATTCTCCCCTATGAGATACTTTTTTCACTTTTTTTTCAAACGAAGTTGGAAGCAAAATATATAGAGAGGACTTTTCCATTGTTAGTGGCAGTTAGCGGCCAATTTGTGTGTACTAAATAATAATAAAAAAATCAAAATATTAAAAAATTTAAATAAAACTATTTAAAATTTGATTCCTCTGTCCAAATAATTTTGCTTCTTAGTGTCTGGGCTAACAAATAACCATTCAATTGAGTTTAGTTCATACATTGAATTAAATTTATTATATTTTTCATTGAAGTAAATATAGTTGTGTAAAATTTTTGAACACAATTTGCATTTAAAAAATTCAATATTCATTACCAAACAAAAAGCGGAGGCTGAGTGTCATTTGATGTCGGGCGTTTTAGCAGATATCTGGTAGTTTTAAACCCTTTCTTCTTTTTTTCCAATTTAAATTTTTTTGTATTGACCGAGAAGAATAAATAATAAAGAGGTACTCAACCTTTTCTCAACCTAACTCTGTAATAAAAAGTAATCAGTTAATCATCTTACGAAGCACGTGTCTTTTAATATTGTTAAGCGAGTCTCAGTTTCTCTCTTGTAAGTGACAATTTTACTCGCTCTTGCTCTCTCTTGCATGATATGCGCGTCGCGCACCGCGAATCATTTTCGCCTAATAGGCAACACGTACGTCCGCGTGTTTGCTGCAATGGGCGGAAAGTGCTCCACCAGCAGATTGAGACTCTCATGAACGCGACACGGCCTGCTTCCCCAATTGCCGCTGAATATGCACTCGCGAAATTGCCAGCAGTTAACCCCAAAAATCGCACCGCGTCGGCAGTTTGGCTTAATGTTTGCGCCTTGCGGAGAGTCGGCGGTTGGATCATTCGCGGGTAGCAGAGGCTGATGGGCGCTGCAGCCAAAAAGAAAGAATCGGCGGTGGCCATACGCGGTCTGCATTGGAATTGATCATGATTAATAAATGCCAAAAATTTTAGTGCTAGAGCCGATTACGTATAAATTTCGTTTGATAAGAGATATCTCAACATTGGGCAGATGTAGAGAAATACGATTGATAAATAAAAGTTATAAAACTATTTGAAATGCATGCTTAAAAGTAACTTTAAATCTGCTGAAATTTAGCCTTTTATTCATATATGTGATTTTCTTGGTGAATTAACAATCACTTTTTAGATTTGCATTTTTTCTCCCAGTAAAATGCAACTTTGCTAAGAAATAACCCACAAAAAACTATTAATTGAGCCAAATTATTGTTTTCATTTCTATCTAAGATTTAGATTAAAGGATAAATTCTGATTTAAAAAAATTCAAATGCCATAATTACTGATTTGAGCAGAAAATTTGTTGCTAATTAAAATGCAGCTAATTGTAACTCAACGTCATTTGCATGCGATGGAAAGTAAACACAAAGGGGACTTCTTCCTGCACGACAAAAAAAATTCGCAGGTGCTGCAGATTTTAGTGCGGCATTAAATTAGACTGTAAGCAAATCATTATTCAAATGAGGCGCGCGGTGGCAGAGCGGCGCTCGCTTAATTTTCCAAGCTTGAAAATATATATCCGAGCAAGGGTTAATTTTTTATGACAGTTTGCGGGATGCGTTATTAATAAAAAAGCAGCCGCGTCTCTCTCTCTACATCCAGCTAGTTTGCATTATTATTTTGCTAATCTCCTGCGGGGCCGCTTCTTTATGTAGATCGGCCGGCCGGCGGGTCGTTTGTGTATTTTTTTGTGGCGTCAGCCAGGACGAGCGAAAAGGAGAGAGACAGTTGCATAATATGCATGTATTCGATTCATCAGCAGTTGAAAGTTTTTTTTATTATTCAGATGCTGCCGCGCCTTTTCGTCCCTTAATGCATTTTTTAACCCTTTCTGTCCCCTCTCGTATACTCGCTCGACGGTCGCTCGGCTACCCTCACGCCTAGGATGCTCTCCCGCGTGCATCTGTCGCTGCAAATCTGCATATATGTGCAACGCACACGTTTTTATCAAAAGCGCAGCCGACACAAAATTCAACTAGCTTTTGACACAAATTTTATTAGCACCCAAAGCGCAGTTGAAATTTTAAAGTGAATTTAAATTATAATAACGATTTTATTGAAAATCTTTAAAATCACTTCATGATCATAGCAAATTAAATATTTTTTATTTTTATATGGACAAATTTTTGTTAAAAAAAATGGCTCAATTATTCCAAAGTTTTCTTAAGTAGTGCTAATTTTTGATTAAAATTGGCTAATTAATATTAAAAATAATGAAACATAAAAACGTAATAATTCATAGCTTATTTTTAAAGCTAACAATATTGGACTAAATGATATATTATTATAGGTGATTGAACAAATTATTTATAATTAAT